CGCATCATCTTATTATCCTATTGGCAAAACACCTTGATTGGTTTATATTTCAATTTTTATTTGTAAAGTTATGCAGGTATATTAGAGTTAATCCTGATGATGAGATCTAATTGAAAACACAATATTGTTCGTTTAAATGTATTGTTCTACATTTTACTATGGGAATACTTAATATTTTGAAATCTTTAATATATGTGTAAAACTTGGGCAGCACAGTGGTAGTGTTTTTTTCATTCCAGTGAAACATTGGGCACCTTCAAACTAGAAGCTTAAAGTTTCGGTAGCAGTGGTGTTTATTTTTAAGGGATAGGGTTGCTAGCCCCATGCCCAACCTTCCTTCTTTACCAGTCTTATTACTAGCTTAGCGAGGTAAAGCAGTGTGTCCACTGGTCGGGGGTCGAACTCCCGACCATTTGCGGTGTGGTTGGCGACCATTCTACCGCTGCGCCACCGACGCACTCAGTGGTGGCGGTAGTTTGTAATTCCATATTAATTTATTTATTAGATATATCACACATAAAGTGGAACCGCATTATATACTGGGTTACAATGTAGTCGAACTGAGAACCTAATCTATGCAGTGACAAATGTGTTGTATGCGATTAACAGTTGAGTACACATAGTGTTCCCTTTCACAAAATATCGATATAGTAGCCTTTTTTCTAGGGTAGAAATCACATAATTACGATCTTAGCAGCACTTTATTTCCGGTGGTGGGCTTCCACACATGGAAACAGAAATTTTCTTTAGAATTAAAATCATCCAATGGTATTTATTAACTGCGCTCCCGTGAAAGCTACCATTTCCTAATGGACACAAGTTCTTACCTGTGCTCCTTTAACATAGGCTAATAAATTGGTAATCATACAAATGTGCGACGATTATCATCTAATGATTGTCTGTATCAACAGATGCCAACAACTGGTATTCTAAAAATTTGCTTCTTCATGAAAAATGAGGACAAAGTCAATTAATAATGTATTTTTAAACCAAGTTCACGCTTAATAGTTTGAAAAAATTTGGGCATTGGGCATATGATATTCATTATAATTAAAAAGTTTTTGTACTTCTCAGTAAATGAAAAATAAAATGGTATTGTTGTTTTTACTGACGTTCCGTTATTTAAAGCTGCTGTTAATAGCTTTATCAAAGTAGTATTAAACCAGAATTTACAAAATCCACTCAGCTTATATATAACAACTTAATCATCGTTCCTCAGAATGGGGTTATTTTTGCGTGGTCAAGTTGGAGTATTGGTGTGAAGATAACAAAACCAGGTGCAGATTGTTCGATTTGATAACTGTATAAAACTAGAAAAGCAACGTGTGTTTACATAATGAAATTGCTTATCACACATTCGTGTTGATTTTGCCATTTCGTAGGGGAGAGAAGGTGGTATTGTAACCAGGTCAAATTCTGATTTAGTCCATCATCATTCCTATCCAGACAATTTAGATTCCACTCGATATGAAGTGCTTTTAATGATGTGAGACGCTCTTTGTGATTTCTGAAATCTTTTTTCTGGATTATTTCAATATTGTCACAATCAATTTTGTGGCCGTGTAAACCGCCTATGGCTGATGACTTTTCAAGTTTTTCTGATCCACTAACTGGATTTCTCAGTGGTGGTCGAACAGATGCGGCTATACGGTGTTCATTTCTTCTGATTTTGATTTCTCGAGATGTTTGTCCGATGTATATCGCATCACGTTCCAAGCACTTTATCTTATAGACACAATTAGATAGAGAATAAATTCACTTGCTCGTGTGGAGCTAGTTATATTGGCCGCACAAAGCGCACGCTTTCCAAACGCATCTCTGAGCATTATCCGGCATAGTTAGCAAAGGGACAATGTAAGACAATTACTAGCTCAATTCTCGATCATTTGGTGAACTCAGGCCACGTAGTTCCACCAGAATCGTCTTTCAAGATCATCTACAAAGTGAAGCCAAATGGTACAAAGGGCGTCAGGTTTCGGCTTTTGTGTATGGCGGAGGTTCTAGCAATTCATCAATACAACCCTGAACTCTGTATACAGAAAAAGTTTGTCCAGTCTCTTATTCTACCTTGGTCTTAACCTCTTCACTAATCGTTCCTTGTAAATAAAAAATTTTTTGATTTTTTCTTCTCATTCTAATTTCACTTTTAGTTAGCTTTTGCTTTAATAATTAATTCACTATTATCACTCTCATATGTTCCTTTTGTATATTTTCACACCCTCTTCACACTTGTTAAATTGACACTCAAATACCTTTATTCTCACTGAATAGCATTTTTAACCTTATCAAATTTCTATCTTTTTGCCGTTGAGTACCACGTAATTTTCAACTTTTAATTTTCACTTCTAAAGCCACTTCTGAGTAATTATATCAATTATGTCACCCCCTATTACTCAATAATAGAGAATCTTTAGGGATTCAGTCTATTATATGGACAAGGTTGTTTCGCAGTATGTCTAATGTTTTAAAGAAAACTCTGATGTCGAGCTTACCGAGTACTCTTCTGACGTCTCCGCTCTATATGGAATGGCAACTGTTGAGCTCCATGTTTTCGGGATACGTTTTCGACCATATTTAATGTCAGTGTTCATCTTGTTGGTGAAGTTCTTTGGGTAGTTATTTTGCTTGAGAGTCTCAGTCCGTTAACATCAAACAGTGTGCTCGTCTAAGAAGGTTTGAAACAACTGATACAGCGTCAAGTATGAATGACATTTTACGACCTAAACTCAGAGTACTACTAAAGATTCTTCAATGAGTAATCAGTTGCCATATGTTACCTGTGTGCGTCGGTGGCATAGCGGTTAGGACGCTCGCCGACCATGCACATGGTCCGGGGTTCGATCCCCGGTCACCGACGAACTCCTTTACCTCGCTAAGCCAGAAAAATGCTGGTGAAGAGGAAAGGTTGGGCATGAGACTGGCTAGCAACCCCTTCCTGTGAACCAAACACTGCTACAGAAACTTCAAGCCACTAGCTTGAAGCCCTATGTTCCACTGGAGAATGTGAAGGAAAAAAAATGTCACCTAATTTTCAAATAGGAGAGAATAAAGACAATCTCTTCAAAGATGCCAGTGGACAGGAGAGAGAAGACAATTAAAAAGAAAACTTGCAGCTCTGAACTGAACTGGGTTTTCTATACAGTCACAAGTACTGTACAAACGTTTACACACTGGAAACCCTATAAAATAAATATCATTATTCTGGACAAATTGTGTACAGAATCCTCGGCGTAATCTATTGCATAATATCTTCTCCCCATTGAGCACCTTCAAGTCAAATAGTCATCTGACGTTATATCATATGACGCAATGTTGTTCGATCTAAAGCATATACTAATAATCCTTCATGGTATTTATTTTTCCCTAGTCTCCGAGAAATACACACCGGGGTATTTTGAAAACCAAATATAAATTCATGCGTGAAAACATTGTTTTTTTCAACTCAAGGACACAGCTGATTGGTTAGAACAATAAGAATTAGAGTAAACACGATACTTTATGTTTATTATTTTATTCCTGTACGTTCCCAGTGGAAGAAAGGCCTTCAAGTTAGAGGCTTGATGTTTCGGTAGCAGTGGTGTTTATTTTTACGGGATGAGGTTGCTAGCCAGCTTCATGCCCGACCTTCCCTCATTACCAGTCTTATTACTGGCTTAGATAGGTAAAGCAAGGCACCGGCTGGAGATCGAACTCCGAACCACACACGGCGTGGTTGGCAAGCATTCTACCACTGTGCCACCGATACTTTGTGATGGATGGTAGCCCAGTGAGTGATTCCAACAGAAGTCATCAATATTAGATAAAAATTGAGCCCGAATAGCTCCGTGGTAACATATCTCCGATTGCGACACACTAGATGACGTCGTCGCTTCGAGTCTCAGAGTGGACATATATCAATCAATCAGTTCCTTAAAGATTAGAGATATGCCTAGTCTAACGAGTACCAACAACGGGTACTGTTAGCAATGTTAGCTGATATAGGATCAGGTTGGAAAAGACTGAGTGGTTAGTGGTCATCAGTCAATGAAATCCACAACAGTTAGTTTAAACCAGCCACTTAGGAAGATGTAGACTTCCTGACTGGTTGGGTTCCTCGGGACGGGTCACCGCGTCACCCGGTGCTGCAGTCAGAGACGTTACCACTGAGCTATTCAGGCTCGCGACTGACCTCCTGTAGGATTGTGTTGGATATTTTTGATTGCACACTAGTCAGTAACTAGTGTAATGCGTCTAGTCCTTCCTATCTTCGGTGCAGACTGAATTCCATCAGTCATGTTTGCAATGTGGCCACCATGCTAGGTGGCTCGCCATTACGGTGCACTGTGAATTGTTGGTATTAGATGGTTGGAGGCAATCGGCAGGAAGCCTTGAAGGCTGGAGACAATTATCAGTGCTATGGCTCAAACTCATCATTTTCGGTGACAGCTTGCGCAGATGCATCCACTCCTTATGGCTTATAATTTCCAATAAAACTATATTGTTCTTCTTCTTTGTGTAATGTCTCTATTTTGCATTTCTTCTCTTGGTTTGTATGCTACATGAAGGGAGTGTGGCGACTTGAACTGCTGCACATCGGTGCAAAGTTCTATATTGAAACCAGTCAGTCAGTCAGTGCCAACAACAAGCACCTGGAGAGCCTAGATCAGACACAAACTCTCCAATCAAGCTAAGGCTAAGCTCCTCATCACACACACACACTAATTAATCCAGATTTATTTATTCATCATCTTAGATAGCTTAACTAAAGCCACAGTTCAAAATCTTTTTTTTATTGAACTGTTGTTAAACGGGCGATACACGGGCAACAAGCGGGATAGATATTCGCATTCACCTAAGCATAAGCACCTTCTTCATCAAATAAGCGGTAAAAGAGAAAACCAAAACATCTGTTGGAACATTTTGTATATCATTATTGTCATTATCATTATCATGATTATCATTAATATTAAATAATCAATGCATTATATCATAAAATGAATAGTAGTCATAGTCGTAGTAATAGAGTTTTACATGTATATGTATAAAAAAGTGAGTAGGTGAGTGATTGACTGATTGATTGACAGAATGGAGCGGTAAAGGTTTTTCTTTTTTGCACATTATTATTGTTATTTCAAAATTGACACAAAAAGGGAAAGAAATAAGGAGGGAAAGACGTCACCATTCCCGTCAATCAATGATTACATATACAGTGAGTGAGTGTATATATATATATGTATATATGCATATATATAAATGTAATGTAAATAATGTATAGAAGGATGATACAATCGTTAAGAAATAAAACAAGGAGGGAAGAACAAGAAGAAGAAGAAAAAGCAATAAATGTCTCCTAAATATCAAGATATGAGTACTCGTCGGCATCGTCGTCATAGTAGTAGTAGTACTACTAGTAGTAGTGGTTGGTGGTGGTAATGCAATGAATGTGAATAAAGGCCGAAACCAAGATTTAAAAAAAAAGAAGAGAGTATGATTGTTGAATTGCATTTAATTGCCTACTCCCCTTCTTTCCGCCCCCGAGCCCCACTGCTTCCTCGGGTACGTACACACTTACGCCGCCAGCGCGCCCGTCCGCCCGCTCACTTGCCCATCCGTATTTTCAAATTCATTCATAATATGTGCACAACATTAAGTCAGTTGGTTGGTCGGTTGGTCAGTCAGTCAGTATAAGCCACGCCAGCCAGCAGTAAGTAGTGTGATATTGTGCAGCATAGGTAGTAAAATATATATGTATATATATAAATAAACAAAATGGAATACTATCATTTCTAAAACTAGCATATAGATATAGAATAAAAATGATGAAATATATAATGCAGCAAGAGAATACAAGAAGTTTCATTATTTACAAATAGCCACATATGTATATATGGATGCGCTAATGGAGTATTAAAATCGAAGACATGATCGTATACAACATTATTATCCCATGAGAAAGAAAAGTTGCACTGTATGTGTTTCTACTCTTCTCTGCGCATTATGGTTGTGATGAGGATAGACGTGAATTGAACTGAGCCGGTAGACTGGGCAGACCAAATGCATTAGCCATAGCCGCGGCAGCAGCTGCCACTGCTGCTTGTTGTTGTTGCTGCTGCTGTTGTTGATGTTGCTGTTGTTGTTGATGATGACTGTATTGCTGTTGTTGTTGTTGTTGTGTGTTAGTGGGAGGATAACGTTGTTGGGGAATTGGTGATCGATATCGATCTGCCGTGTTTACAGGAGTATTTTCGAGTAGGTTGTCTGATGATTGATTGCCACCGCCACCGCCAGCTACTAAGGATGTTGCTGCTGCAGCCAATGCGAAAGCATTCAAAACAGCTGGATCCTATAGGGAATAAGATAATACAAAGAAAATGTTTATCAGTTTGTTTGTAGGGATTTGTTTTATTTCACATTTGGCCACGGATTGACGACCGCTGAAAACTAGCATGGACTGCTGGATAGTCGTTTCGTACTAGTTTGGAACTCACACACGGAGTTTCGAAACTAGGACCTCCTGATTACAAGTCAAGCTCGTAAACAATTCAGCCATTGGGACCCCCCACCAACTCAGTAGGGCCACCACCAGGCACTGTTAATGTTGGCGGGTATTTGTCCTAACTCCCAACCAAACGGAAGCCATTGGCGGCTTTTCACTAGAACTTCAAGGAACTTCGTCCTGCAGCTACCCAGTCACTGGTAATCATCTGATTCATGGGCCATTGAGACGGGGAGTCCCAGTGACTGAATGGTCTACGGGTCTGCCTTGAAACCGGAAGGTCCTGGCGTTTGCAACCAAGTGAGTGTGTACTGTCGATGAGTCCAAAATTAGGACGAAACAACTATCCAGTACTCCATACTATATGGTGTATTAGTAATACAGAAGTATTTTGTGCCAAGTAAGTAAAACAGCACACAGTATGTTTATCATAGGATATCCGAACATTATCCTGCATGGTTTAAGCTAATGGATAAACAAGGTCTAGCATATCGTGGAAATCAAACTGATGTTTAAAAAAAGCTCTAAAAGTTATCTATCGTATTCCGACTAATCTTTTACATATACAGCTGAAATCATCCACCTACCTTAAGAAGCTTAACTTGTGTGTTGAGAAGTTCGTGTTCACCCGCTTTCCCTACTTTGGCCAACAATTTATATATTTTGTATCATACAAAAGTTATAGCCAGTTTAGAAGAAGAATCTTCGAAATAATAACAATAAAAGATTTTTTTATTCCGTTACATTCACAGTAGAACATCGGGCTTCAAGATAAAGGTTTGAAGTAGCAGTGGTGTTTATTTTTACGGGATGAGGTTGCTAGTTAGCCTCGTGCCAACCTTCCCTCTTTACCAGTCTTATTACTGGCTTAGCGAGGTACAGGATTGCGCCAGCCGGGGATCGAACCCCGGACCACATGCATGGTTAGTGAGCATTGTACCGCTATGCCGCCAAAGCACAACAATAATAAATGATGAGCTCATATTATCACCATGGTAAACACACACACACTTTAATTGTTCCTGCTTCATTCTAGGCGATTAGATTATAGCAGTAGAAAACAGGATGCAAATTTCATCTTATCCTAGGACTCGTCAGTTGCATGTACTTGCAATCATCACACACCTCCCCAGTGAGTAGTGATGGTGTTCTTCTTCTCATTGAGATACTCAAAACTACTACTCTATCGTGTTACAAACGCTAGAGTTATTAACCAATAAAAAGGACACTTGGATTAAGTTGGTGTAAATAAATGGTTTTTCAAGTATCGGTCTGTAGGGATTTGATTGATTCGTTACAGGATTTCATCATGAGCTGACATCGATTAGACAACCATTGGAAAACCTGAGAGTACCGGACAGCTACTTTTTCCTTGTCTGGGACTCTTCATCAGTAAGCACCTACCGGGGTTCGAAACCAGCACCTTCTGGTTACAAGGTTAGCGAGCTCGTCGTTCATTAAGTCACTGGGACCCGATCCAACAGCACAGCCATGAATTCCAACGCGACCAATAAGCCAATGTCTTCGGCGAGTATTTGTCCTCACACCCGACCTGCTACACCATACTGGTCATGACTTCCCGCTAGAACCCCAGGTAACTACCTACCTGAATAGGGATTACTAGTGACTGGCTCTATTCAGGTCAGCTCAAGATGAAATTCTGTAACTAAATGGTTTTAATCTAACCAGATATTTTTGAGAATTTTTTTAAACTGTGGTTATTGATTACATAAATTTAGATAAGTTAAAGTAATTTGCATGTAAGGGAGAAATGAAATGAAATGCCGGTGTCATACAAAATGAAGGCTGTATGACTGTATATATATGTCAACAGTTAGATTACATTCCTTTTGAACTAACCACTATAAGTAAAAAAGAAATGCATATTTTAACTACTCACATTTCATAACCATTAATTATTATTACTACTATTACTATTGTTGATAAGAGATGTGCTATGCAGTGAGATTCAAATGTGTATTCTCTATCTTGAAACCAAAGCTTACATAATGGCTCATTTGACGATGTCACCACACCACACCAATACCATTGGTGGCATACTGAGTGAGGACATTTATTAGCGGTGTACAACACTTGTCGTATGCATTGTTGAGGACTGCGGCGGGGTATCTAGTATGTCATTAGCTGCTTCTAGCACACAATCTCTATCAGGCAAGTCCTATTCATTGATTTCACGCGACTGCCGCGGTCCTCACGAGAGTGAAAGGATGAATGCAAACATCTGGTGCTTACAACCGGACTGGTGAACATGAGGGTCTGCAGCAGCTGAGGGAGCTGAAGAACCCTCACCCCAAACACCTATGGGTGTATACATTGGCTTCAGAATTTGAAAGGATTGAATGGTGTATAAACCTGTTTCCGTCACCGGAAACCATGGGGTCGTACCTCTTGAGGCTGCTGCTCCATTGCCTTGTAAGTCACACATTCAAGTGAAAGAGTTTAGAGTGGCCTCCTTAGGGCAATCGAGTGCTTCAGTCTGTGCGTCCATGCAGTATGCCAACCCTTGCACAAACTATAAGATTTTGTGTGACACATCTCTTGATGCTCATAATGCACCAATTTTGTGATATAATAATAATCTTGGTATAGTGAGAATACACATAGCTAAAATAGAATTATATTGAAAAAGAGCCTAAGCAGATTAAACCAAAACATGTCATGAATCCATGAAGGACAGAACTGTATTGACCACTAGATAGTAACATGCAGAGCAATGGGAATTTACAGGTCTCAGAGGCCACAAAAAGTGAAGACTTAGGTAACAGTGAGAACGATTTTTAGCCGTGACATTGACAGTCTCTAGTGGTTGGGTGTCTTAGAGTCGCGAAAATCCTAACTCAAATCAGCAGTCAAAGATTGATGGTACGATGTTTTGGTGTGAGTACCCCCCCCTAGCACTATTTCAACCCAATCCCAGGTCAGCTAACACACACTGCTTCACGAGGAAAGCAACAACTTGGTGTACGTAACACATATCAGTAAAATCCGAAAGTTGTTAGTCATTTCTGACGGACACTATTTCCGATAGGTACAGAAGGCAGCACGTACAGTAACTACCAGGTGATCAGTTACACTTTAAGTTGAATCCCTGATATGTTGAACACAATCGGATCAATAGATTATATATATACATTGGAATAAAAAATTACTTTCTTTACCTGAAATGAAAATCCCGGTGGAAGTCCAGACATTTGTGCTAGTTGTGCCAATTGTGCTAACTGACCTGGTGGCATACCAGGTATCGAAGGTCCTCCTGGAAACATTGGAGAATCATTATTAGATGGTTGATTGTTAGACAACTGTGACTGATGCATACGATTAGTTGCTGGAGTAGGTGTACGATTACTAAGTGACCGAGATTCTGAATGAGAATGATGTACAGGAGAGAGTAAACGATTCGCCGATGACGATGAGGACGACTGAGATGGTCCAGATGATTGAGGAATAATACCCGCTGACATATGACTATTTTGACGTCGCCTTTCTTTGTGTGTACTTTGATTCATAAAGTTGGGCATTCCAGATGGAGTAGAATTGTTGTTACAGTCTGAATTACTACCAGTGTATTGTCCTGCTGGAGAACGTAGTCTTACATTAGAGGCTGGAGCATTCATATTTCTTTGTGGCAAGTTATCTTGAATCGCAGAAGGATGCTGTTGTGGTTGTTGTTGTTGCTGATGCTGCTGCTGTACCGGCAGACTGCTTCGTGGCAGTGAAGTCTTTTTCTCCTGTGATGCCATTTCAGCAAATGCTGCAGCAGCTAAACTTGCAAATTGTAATGCTTTATTTGGATCAGACTGAATATTAGCTATAGAAATAGAAAAAAAGAATCGAAAAGTGCTAAGTGTATGGATTTATGTTAAGCAGGTTGAATTGTTAACTTAAACATTCAACAGTACGATTAGCTAAAGTGCTTACGACGATTTCGCTTGAACGAATACAACTCGTGGGGAATTTTATTAAATAAGTGTTCAAATCAAGCTAATATATATTTATATGATTACTGAAAGGGGGGTATTTTTGAGGAATTAGGACAACCAATATTTGCAACTAGTTCTACAGGATATCCGATTCAGTTTCCCAGTCGACTCATCCCCTGAACCTACCTCCCTTCGGTTACTAGCCGATGGCAAACGCGGAAGAGATAGGAGGTTGGAAGTGATGCTACTAATCCCATTCCTTCCATACGAGTCAGACAATTAGCGTGTAGCGAAAAGCATTTCCAACAGGTTGCAGACTTTTATCAACAGCTGCCAACTTCGCTAGCTTTATACTGAAGATCAAATGTCCGGCCGGTCAGAAAGAGTTAGCAACAAGAAACTCTGGCGATGAACAAACCAACCAAGAGCCGACCGCTCAACAGATATGCAGAAGAAAATAGGGACGGATAGGACATAATTTGAGGAGGCCTCGGATGACATCGCGCGCAATGCAGGCCATCACTTGATGAGTGGAATCCAAAAGGGAAGTATCGAGTGGGTCGTCAGTGCGAGGGTGATGTGGAGGAGATCGTGTGAGTTGGAGGGGGAAATGAGAGATTATGGGCGATCGTGGACCCAGCTGAAGGGAAATGCCGAAAATACAACAAAGTGGAGATGTGTTGTTGAAGACCTATGCTCCACTCGGAATGGAAACAGGCCACAGGGAATGCTGTCTGTCTATATACCAGCAGCTAACAACCTCAGTCACAATTAACCAGTCATCTTTATTTGTTCCTCACGGTGTGTGAGGCCAGGAAGTAACAAAAAGTACACAAAGATCTTCCTTTTAGTCAGCTTACTTCTCTTCTGTTTACCACATCTTTATTTTAATCTTCCAACATCTGTTATTATGGCAGTAATAACAACATCCTGAACCGATTTGAAATCATCAGTCGAATCAACGTATTTTAGAAGAATGCAGGAGTTTCTCATAAAACAGTAGGGGTGTTGTTTCCACGGGATGGGGTTGTTAGCATCACACGCTCAACTGTCCCTCTTTTACCAGACTTATTGACTTACTAGTAGATGCAATGTATCCATGTGTTTCTTGGTTATAAATAGTTACTTATATGTAGTAGTGTGCAGTCACTTAAAACAACTTAGACTTCTTGTACAATTCTGTGTATTTTCAGTTACAGACATCAAGGGGGGGGGGTATACAAGTAAAGATATCAGTCTAATATACAACAGATTATGAATTCTGTGAGGATTTGGATGAAATCCAATGCGGGTTTCATCACGATCTGGCGTAGTAACTTGAGGGTACTCGGTGACAATCTCTGGTCGGGATATGGATGCGCAATTCTGAAGATTCTAAAAACTACAAGAGAAAACACATCTAGTGCTCCCTCGGTCGGTCGTTCGGTTTTCGACATAGAACTTTGCACATATGTGCACCAGTTCAAGTCGCCACACTCCCTCCATGTAGCACATAAAGCAAGAGAAGAAAGTAGGAGAAATGCATAGTATAGACAGTAAACAGAGGTGTGAGACAAAGGAATAGCAATAACGAAGAACAATATAGTTTCATTGGAAATCATAAGTCACAAGGAGTGGATGCATCTGCGCAAGCCATCACCGAGAACGATTTTGAGCCATGTCACCAATTGTTTCCAACCATTGGTTTTTACCGTCCCGAGGATCCCAACCAGGAAGTCTACACCTTCCTAAGTGGCTTAAACTAACTGTTGTAGATTTTATCGACTGGTGTCATGTTTTCGTTTGACCACCACTTGCTCTTTTCCAGCCTGATCCATCCTATGTCAGCTAACATTGCCCGATGTCGAGGGAGGTGATGACTAGGCATACGTAACACATGTCTTAACCATCTCAGTCGATGTAATTTCACAGCCTCGTCGATTGATTTCCCCTCCTTACTTAGCACTCGACGCCTAACCTCAATATTGCTCACCTTATTATACCACTTCACATGGGAGATAGAACGCAGACACCTATGATCAAAGACAGTTAATCTTTTCATGTCTTCTGCTCTCAATGGCCAGGTCTCACAGCCAAAAAGGAGTACGGAGCGGACTGCTGAGCAGTACACCCACCCTTTGGTCGATAGCCGGAGACCGCGTAAACTGGCATATGTGAAACTAACCCTCTGTATCCGTACTGAGATTCCGTCAGAGATCAACCCTCGGGAACTGGCTGATGTAACTTCCCAAAAAGTGAAGCGGTCAACGTGCTCTACCACCTCACTCCCTATTTCTAAACTGGGAGTCAGTGTAGTCCAGTCCTGTAACATCATCTGACATTTAGCGGGAGCGAATCGCACGCCAAACATTCGTAGATCGCTGGTCAGCTCAAGGTGTTCAGAAGACTCTGCATTTTGTCAGCGTCCTCGCCTAGAAGGACTATATCGTCTGCATATTCTAAGTCAACGAGATTATTCCCCGGTAGCAAGTCGATCCCTGAGTCGCTGAAGTGAGTTAGGGTTAAGTCCATTAGTACATCAATATAGTCATACAGGAGATTAATGGAGAGGAACCAGGATATGTCAGTGGTAACATCTCTGACTGCACAGCACTGATTCTAATCTCAGAAGGACATGAGCAAAATCCTTCAAGATTGCAGATAAGCCTTTCTGACGAGTGTCAAGAGGCAAGAAAGCACTAGGTCGTAACCATTCCCTACTCTTTGTTCAATCTATGGACAGTTAGTGAGTGAAGCTGTGGGTTACTGTCACAAGTGCTCAACTTTTAATCACTGGTGTTTCACACAGTTGTTATGCATCTAGTTATATCCATGGAGCGCCAAGAATTTTGATATGTATAAAACAAACTTGGTTTCAACTCATAGTTGTTAAGTACTATTTGTAGTGCAAATAAATCGATATTTTCATAGATAAAAGATGCATAACTGTGGTAAGAGTAAATTACACAATGCATTATTACACATTCAGCCTCCAGTGTAAATATATACACTCAAGCTCAGGCAATAACAAATACACACACACACACACACACAAATCAATGATATGTAGTAATGAATAGAACATTTATCACTTTAATTGGACACTAGTGTGATGTGTCTAGTCCTTTTTGTGTTTGGTGCAGACTGAATTGAATTCTACCAGTCAGGTTTGCATTGATTGTGGCCACCATTCATTCTAGGTAGCTCGCCATCACGGTTCACATTGATATGATGATATCAGATGGTTGGAGGTCATCGGCAGGAAGCCTTGGATGTAGGTTTCGTGCTAGTTGGCATTCACCAATTGCCTCCAACCATGTAACATCAACAATTCAAAATGCACCGTGATGATGAGCTACCTAGAATGAATGGTGGCCAAATTGTAAACCTGACTGATAGAATTCAGTCTGCACCAAAGATAGAAGTAGACACATCACATTAGTTACGAACTTAGGTCCAATCAAAGTATCCAATACAGTCCTATAAGAGGTCAATTGCGAATCCGAATAGCTCAGTGGTAACGTCTCTGACTGCAACACACAAGGTGACATGGGTTTGAGAATCTCAGGAAGGACATGAGTTGTTCCTTCAAGGTTGTAGATATGCCTTGCTGACTGACTGATGAGTGCCAACAGGCACGAAACCTAGGTTCAAGACTTCCTGCCGATTGCCTCCAACTGTGGTGAGAGCTGGCTGCTAGCCAAAGTCGGTAGACAGTAATTGACGTCAATGTTTATGTCCCCAATATTGGTGGTGAGAAAATGAGAACAAAGGCTTTGCGTAGGCGGCTGCAGTTAGCATATGGATGATCTGACACAGCCACAAAGAGATGCAAGGTTAACTTTCTGTGAGAAACAACCAATCAACAGACTGTATTTTCTACTAACAATAATGTACATTAAAATCTATAAATATGTGTTGATTTTCCTTAATAAACGATCTGTTGCCTGGCCCTTGTCTTCTGTTGTTACACAACCACCTAACATCAATAGAATATTAATCAACTGGAAGACAACTTTATCTATATTACTGACTCCAGAATACTATACATCATATTATACGTCAATTTAAAATAGTTTCATTTCACATGGTACATAATGAGATAGTGTTATTTATTTACTTATTACACCTAGAGGACCTGAAAGTTATACGGGGACCTGGCTATAGCTATGAGCCATAAAATGTACTCAAAATGTCATAATTGAACAAATCATGTTGTCAAGATTGATCACAAATAAACTTCATTTAGAGAATAAGCAGCAGGGAATGATGTTTCGTCCCAGTTTAGAACTCTTCACAGTATGCACCCATGACCCTATCGGGAGTCGAAAAAAGGCACCACCTTCAGGTTACGAAGCCAACGGGGCGGAATCTAATCGCCCATGAATTCTAACTTCCACCAGTCCGCAATATATTGCACAACCGTTAGCTAAAGTCGCATCCGGTTGTGTACTATGGGTGCGTACTACTGAAGTGTCCAGAACAACAGGGATGGAACAGATGTCGAGGAATCCCTGTTGGTTCACAATGTTTTTCTAACTGAAATCAGTTTGACATCAATCTTGAAATCAATCAAATCGGTGCCACAATGCCCAAATTCTATTCCTACTTCATTAAAATTAAAAGATGAATTCTACAGTGAATGTAAATATGCACAGACACGCACACACACTCACCTGCCATCATAGCTAATTTCGCTGCATTGAATACTTGTTCTTGTAAATTTGACGACGATGAGGCTGATGGTTGTTGTGGTGGTTGGATCGTTGGATTACGTGATGCTGACCGTCCACTACCACTACTATTACTACCAGCACCACCATGAGTAATAGGTGAAGTGAAAGGCATATGCGGTGAGGCACGTGTATGCCCAACATTGAATGGTGATAACAATGGCGTAGCAGCAGCAGGATTAATCGATGATAAATTATTTAGATTCATAGACATGTCACGGGACGAAGAAGATGAAGAAGAAGAGTTATGGTGTGCAATTGGCGGTGTCTTTCTGCTAAGATTATGAATATCCTGATGATGTTGAGGGAAACGATTAGTTGGCCCTGGAGAGAACTGTAGTGATGATGCTGATGCTGAGGATGATTGTGGATACCGTGGATTATGTGACAGTTGAACAGAGGCAGTCGGTCGAGTAGAAATACTATTCACTGCTGATGTCATTGCACCACCATTTCCATCAGAATGTGATAAACAACCACCGATTATCATTGATGTAGGTGTTGCCGGTGGTAAAGGTCGTGATGGTGGCGGTGGTGGTGGGGGTTGTAACTGTAGAGAAGAATTTTGATGTGGATAAATCGATGAAGCAGGGATACCACCTTCAAGTCGTGCAGCCATTTCAGCTGAAAAAGCAGCAGCTAATATCTCCTGCTGTTGTTGTTGTAGCTGCTGTTGCTGTTGTTGTTGATAGAGTTGAAATTGTTCTACAGGTGTCATTGTACGTTGTTGTTGCTGCTGCTGTTGCTGTTGTTGGCTGTTAGTAGCATTTCGCAAATATTCAAGACGTTCAGACATAAGCCGCTGGAAGGCATCGATTTCACGTTGTTCTACTGACGCAGCAGCAGAAGACGACGACGCCATGCGGTCTGAAGGGAGTGAAGTAGCTAAACAAAAATAAATTATTTCAACAATGTGTAAATACAAAAGTGATCTTTTTCAAAGAAGTATTGTGAAAAATAATTTTAAATGGGCAAACGACAATGAAAATGAATATACCCAAACCACAACCTACTAACAGTGCGTTGGTAGAACAGCGGTTAGGACGCTCGCCGACCATACACATGGTCTGGGGTTTGATCCCCGGACACTGGACGTAATCCCTTTTTTCTCTAAGCCAGTAAGATTAGTAAAGAGGGAAGGTTGGGCATGAGGCTAGCAACCCCACTCTGTAAAAATAAACACCGCTACCGAGACTTTAAGCCTCTAGCTTGAAGCCGGATGGTCCACTGGGAACGTAACGGAATCAAAAAGCCACCTATTAACCATCTTTGATTACAGATGTTTGCTTTTTATATCGCATGTTAAGTGGTATAATATCATACTGGGTGATATTGAAGTTTGGTGCAGAGTGTTAGTCAAGTGAGGGGGAGGAGGGGGGAGTCAATCGATGCGATAGATAAGATACATCCATTGAGATAGCTATGTCAAGTCTTAAACACGACAAGCCACTACCTTCCTCGACGCATAATGTTAGCTGGCATTCGATTAGGTTAGAAAACTGTGTGACTAAATTGATATGATTATTATGAGAAGCAATAAATTTGTGCTCAAAACGTCATCCAGTTTTTAATACTGTATCACTATTTGGTATTGAGAATAAACTTATCTAATATGGAATTACATTCTACCACAATGTCAAAGTTGTACACTTACATTAAAAGAGTTACCGGTGGTCAAATCAAAACCTGACACCAATATCTACGAAGCCGTTAACAGTTGGTTTAAGCCAGTCATGTAGAGAGGCATAGGTTCCCTGGTTCCGGTCCTCGAAATGTTGACATCCAAGGACTGGAGGCTATTGGTGAAATGGTGTAGAGATGTTCAGATCGATTAAATCCTCATATTTTCCCATGTTTGATAGGAATCAAGTTAAAACAGTAATCATTGTCCGTATGATTCATCGTGTGGTCGGATGACTGGGAAGTAGTATCTTTTTCTTACCCCAGTCTTTGTCAAATCGCCAGCCAATCAGAATATCGATTTTTTGCGAACCTAGCCGAATATGCCCTGGTAACACAGCGGTAGAATGTTCGCCAACTACGCCGCATGCGGCTCGGGGTTCGATCCCCGGCCACTGGACACACTCCTTTGCGCCGCCAAACCAGTAATAAGACTGGTACAGAGGGAAGAAGTTTGTTCATGAAGCTGGATAGCAACCTCATCCATCCCATAAAAATAAATACCACTGCTACCAAAACTTCAAAGCTCTAGCTTGAAGCCCCCTATGTTCCACTGGGAACGTAAAGGAATAAAAAAGAAACCTAGCCAAATCGCCTAACAATTACAACAACAGTCACAGGTGCCACCAGTTCTCGCCTTTCCGCTCAGTGAAGCGACAGGCACAACGGACGAATAGGTCTACCTAGAATATCAGTGGAGTTGTCCATCACGTCAGTATTACTTATACCCACACGCCTCGGTCATATCAACTATTGATGTGATCATATCAATGCTAGCGACAGGTCCATAACAATGTTAGTATTCTTTCTCCTCTCATACATTTGTACTCATTATAGTTACCTTATCTTGGATTTTACCCGCTCTTTTGTCTACCTTTATGTGTTACATAATTGTACACAAATGTTGTAATACAGCTGACGAGAACTCATAAGATAAGTAAGTTCAAATTTTGCGGTGATTCTATTCCACACTGTATTTCGCTTAATAACGATGAATAACGAAAATACGGGATAGTACCTAAAGAATTTTGAACATTGGGGACACAAAAGTAAGAAAATAGTCAGAATAAAAGTAATGAATGACTCATCTAGGGTATTGATAGAAAGTTACTAAAATTGGATTCAATATTTTATTAAAGTTGTTGTTGGTTGTAGAGGTAGAAAATTCTGTATTTCAAGACTAGATTTATGGTGATTTTGATTGGACAATCTCCAAATTCATATAGCCAATCAGATTGAAGTATTTGTATAATAAAGTCATTATCCTTACAGTCTGCAGGCCACATCTTTGTATATTGACATTTTTGTGACTTAGTGGGGCAGAATGATCTATTGAGTCCAGTAACCTCGGGTTTTTTTTAACACAAATATATTAAGTCAGTCAGTTCTTCTCTACATGGGTTGGAAACATGGTGCCAACATCATCACGATAAACATTTCCGACAGGCTAATGCAGACTACCATCAAAAGCTGTCTTCGCTGACTCTATACTATTGCTTAAAATATATTCCAGAGAAGATGGAAATGGATCGGAGACACTATCAATAGACTGTTGGGTAACACACATCAAGTGTCAGGTCATCCTCTGGTGTAACCTGAATGGGGTGTCACTTCAAGGGTGGACATGAAGGAGATCGTACAACGAGGAGATGTGCAGTTGAAGCCCAAATGGAACAATAATACTACTAATAATTGCATCCAGTAGAGTTATACCCACTTAGTCATATCAGACACCTATACACCATTTACCCTTAATGATGTATGTCCTTGAACTGGATTCAACCAATCACATAGTTCACCTGTAACTCTACAGTACTCAGTATAGTATACTACTGGAGCCCAACAAGCAGCAGCCACTGGTTAGATAGATATGATTTAAACATCGGTTAGTTGTTTCGCTCCTTCCGTGACGATCTCATCAGCCGCATATATATACAGTCGAATCCTTAATCCAGACAAATCAGGCGACCTGCTAATACACAGAATGCAAATGACGAATTCAATTCCATCCCTGACTATGACTAGTATTCAACCATTAAACATGTAGTGTAAAAATTTCGTAACATTACAACCCATGAATAGTTTCACACAATTGGCAGTGGAGCCACATCATCCTCTCTGTATGAGGATTAGTGGTTAGGTGCACGATGGGATTCAAATCTGAGACCTAGTGGTTGAAAGTCGAGTGTATCTAGGCTATTGAGTCATATCTCCATCAATTATCAATAGGTACGTGTATGTGACAGGGATTGCACTGGCGTATACATTTCATCATCACTGCGACTTTATGACGTATTCATTCATACACTACCAGGAAAAAAGAATGTCTTCTGCAGCAGTTGTATAGGTACACAATCCATTTCCCAAATATAAGGAATTCAGACAGATAAGTTTGACCAATACACATACAGAACACACCAAAGTTAGGAGGAGGGAGTGTTATGAAAATAAAAATCAATAACAGCCAGACGCACACACACACACTGCCAGACTGAAGTAAATGTGGAAAATCCACTTACGTGGCAGTAATCCCATTAAAGCCAACTGACGTTGCAGAAGTTCTGGATGACTATAGAACGGAGTTCCTGGTGATAAAAATGGATTAGATGATGAACATCCCACTGTAGGGAGGAAAAAAACGAAAGAAAAGAATATCCAATAAGTAGACACATTTAAGTAGTATATAAAGAGAGAAGGCAGAAATTTATTTAACAATTTTATCGATAATCAGATTATCTGAGATAGTGGCTTGGGTGATGATAACTACAGATGAAATGAAAGTCTGGGCTGATGATGATGGATTTGGTATCAGCAATCTTGAAAACACAATATCCCAGCTGGGCAACTAGACACATTCACATTACGAGTAATGCCTAACACTTCCTAACATATGTGCAGCAAATGTGTTCGTTTTTTTTTTTGTTCAAACTAATAAAGACAACTGGTTGTATGACATCCTTGAAATGACGTCTTCCCACAAATCGATCATGTCATTGAACCAAGTGGTGAAGTTGCATTGCAGCATTTTTTTCCTTCACGTTCCCAGTGGAACATAGGGCTTCAAGCTAGTGTCTTGAAGTTTCTGTAGCAGTGTTTGTTTTACAGGATGGAGTTGCTAGCCAGTCTCATGCCCAACCTTTCCTCTTCACCAGCATTATTTCTGGTTTAGCAAGGTAAAGGATTGTGTCGGCCGGGGATCGAACCCCGGACCATGTGCATGGTCTGCGAGCGTCCTAACCGCTATGCCACCGACGCTTAGTGAGAGAAATTGCCAGCATCAAATTCTACGAGGAGTGTTTCGAAACAGGTTACTTTCCATGTCGGTTCCTAAGATTTATCAGATCGACCAAGCTGCGCCTCCAACTCGAAAGAGAATATACACATCGTATCACTAAATCACATATTGATCTATCTCAGATCACTTAACACCGCCTTGAGGTCAGATCTAGTCAGATTCGACAGTCTACTGGAAAGTCTGAATTCGGTGTATTGTGTAGAGTTTATGAACTTTATGCAAGACTTACACAGCTGTACACTACGAATTCATGTGAAAAGAAACTCCGAAAATCTTGAGTAGTGAAGAAAATACACGTCTGCGTATATGTCCGATCTTTCTTTGTTCAAACTAATAAATGGAACCCGTTACACATGACATTAATATTATTCCGTTTCATTTGAAATCAAAACATTCAAAGTCTTCAGAAGCCCATCCCATTGACTCTTACTGTGGTGAGAGCTGGCTGCAAGCCAAAATTGTAGACAGCAATTTACGTCAATGTTGCATCCCGAATCAGGGTCATCAGGTAAAACAATAACAAGGCTTAACCTTGAGGAACTCACCAACCAGTCACAGCAGACTTAACGTGTGCACATACGATTTGCAGATATAATGCCTTAACTTTCTGAGAAACGGTCACAAGCAGTTCAGAATAACCTTGAGCAAGAAAACAACCAATCAGAAGACGTTGCTTCTCCGCTGACATTTATGTACATGAAAATCTATAAATATCTGTTGATTTTCTCAATAAACGATCTGTTACTTGGCCCTTGTCTTCTGTCGTTACACTACTAGTTAGATCGATAATCCATAAGCAATGTGAAAAAACTGACTTGCTGATTCGGTGGACATGAACACAAATCGCTTAAACTGTTATTTGCGCAACAGCACATAACAACTACAGAATAACGTAATGTATTCAGAGACAACCATTCATCACCATCACCTTGATGTGTTGGTCGAACTTGTATACTACAGTGAGCTGACGAGCTACACTGGCTGAGATGAGTGTTCCCGCAGGTTGTATTATGCCAGACGAACCTCTTGGATAGCGGTTTGACTAAATTCAGTTACCAGTTAAACTATGTTAGGAGTCTGTGGGTGATTAGGGGTGTAACAGCAGTAGGATGTTTCGCTCAGAAGAAAAGTAGGCTAGCTATACTGGTCTTTACGTTATGGAGAGGAGGGGAAGAGTTAGAAAAGGTCGACCCCGAAAATTGTAGATATCCCGACTTAACATTCAGCGGTTCGCAGCCGACGAACCACTTCAACACAGTCACTCCCTCAGGACATTAAGTAATGCAACACTTTAAGTAATCCTAAAGGTGGGGGGGGGAGGGGAAAGATGATAACAATTGTCAGCTCAGATATATTAGCTTAAAACCATAAACAAATTAAGCAGAACTTTCTATTACCAACCAGAAAATTAAAAAAATAGAAATAAACAATCACTCACATCCATTATACCCACCACCACTAGTTATACTAGGATTCAATCCGAGCATTGAGGGCGTCGAAGACGAAGAACCACCAGCTGACATAGACATATGAGCTGAAAGATTACCACCACCACTGCCGCCGCCGCTTGGCTGACATTGTGAATCTGTTAGACTAAAGTTAAACGGAGTATTCACCATCGACCGGTTCATTCCATGTGCACTGGTATTATTATTATTGTTATTACTGTTATTGTTATGATGCATAGGGAATGGTGAAGGAGCAGAGGCAGAGGCAGCTGTCGCTGCTGTGCCAGTAGCTGACGACGATGAGGAGATAGAAGAAATAGGCGGATAAAATGTTCCAGTTGCTGCTGCAATTCTTGTTGACATTAAAGAACTCATATTACTATTATTATTATTATTACAACTATTATTACTGTTTCCAATAATATTATTGTTATTCGGATTGATAAAGCGTAGATTTGGAGAAGAGACAACAGGCATCTGTTTTGTAGGATTATTAATATTATTATTATTACTAGTAGTAGTAGCGGCAGTAGTGTTCATTTCAAAGTTTGGAGGGAAAAATTTCATACCATCACGCGATGGACTGTTGTTGTGTTGATAATGTCCGGCAGCAGCTGCAGCAAATAACAAAGCTTGTTCATACATTGTTTGCAGTTGTTGTTGACTTGGTATATTATTATTATTATTACTAATGGGCGATTTAATGCCTGTCCCACTTTGTTGTTGTTGCTGCTGCTGTTGTTGTTGCATTAGTATTTGTTGTTGTAATTGAGGCGGTAATAATGGAAATGATGGAATCTGTGAAATCGGTGGCATCATGGAAGGCATACTCCCAGTTTGACCTGTTGGTGTTAATATGCTATTGTTATTATTATTATTAGGATTTAGATAGATCATATTGCCAGGATCATTTTGATGATATGATCTGCATGTTTTTATTGCAGGTTGATCAGATGATGACGACTGGATAGAGGAGGATCGTTTCGAGCTACGAGCACACAGATCAAGAGCAGTAGACGATGTATCCTGAATAGACGATGATGAAGATGACGGTGTATGGTAGGCTGGTGTATGCGCAAATGAAGTATTTCCAGTATAATATGCCTAAAAATTAAAGAAGACAATGATTAAGCTTTGGAGGGGAAAAAAAGTGTCTTATCAATTTTCAGAATATACACATCTGATCAAATTTCTCAAAGGGAGTGAAATCAAGGCATATGGATATTACGTATATAGCTGAGGCACTAGCGATCCAAAAGAAATACTTTCAAAAAAGAAACTCTACATGAACTTGGATTTCAAGGGAGATTTAGCAAGCGATATTCTCAAGAGAAGGATCATATCATCTCTGAGAAAAACATTCTTTGCAGCAACGCTAAGAATAGTGTTCTCCAGTCACCACCTACTGATTTGCAGAAGCCTCAAGGACAAGATCCCGCATCTGACTACTTGTATGTGCATATATCAGCTCACCTGTTGCTGTGGAGCCAGGTACATCGGTCGTTCGACGCGCACCCTGTCCAAGAAGATTCAAGAACACTATCCAGCATGGTTGCGAAAAGGTAATAGTGGTGCAATAAGGAGTGCGATAATTGAACACCTGGTTAACACTGATCATTTCATTTCGACAAAGCCTCCTGCTTCAAAGTAATCTACAGAGTCAAGAACAACGTATCAAAGGCAATACGGTTTCGCCTTCGTTGTATCGCTGAAGCTCTGGTCATTCACATAGAAAAACCAGAGCTGTGCATACAAAAGAGGATTATTCAACCGCTTCTATTGTCTTGGTAACAACTTTTTTGATCTAATTCGATTTTTTATGACTTAATTTTGTTTCTTTGCCTGTTCTATAATTGCTTATAATTCTTGTATTCATTTAGAACTCTTACGTAATTTCGTATTATCTACTTTGTTCCTATGTGCATCTTGAGTAAAACTCACTCATCAAACTATTCATATTATTACATAACTTCTTTTAACAACTATTTGTGACAACTCATCACCTTTGTTACTACCCTAATTTCATTAACACCTAATTTTCTTGACTGATTTTGTATTACTTAACTCCAATTACCAATCTTCACCTGTTTAGGTAAAATAACCATAACCAATTGTCTATTTTTGTTTGACAAACTTAATATACACATGCATACAAAATAACACATATATTTATTTGCGATTGTACAGCTAAGAAAATGAATTCGCGGCCGAAAAAAGAGACTCTCCGCTGATCTACGTGTTTTATTTTCATTAATGCCTCGATGGGGATTATACATGAATTCAAACCTATTTTGTTATTACCGCGTTCATAATCCCTAATTGCACAAAAAGAAAGTCAAGTATCTCAGTACTTATAATCCTACTATAATAAAGGTTTTTTTGTATTTCCCAATGAATGAAAAAGGGCAGAAAACGATATTGTAGTTGTTTTCACTGACGTTTCGCCACTTAATGCTCATGCTAATAGCTTTATCAAAGTAGTATTATTAAACCAGAATTTATAAAATCCATTCAGTTTATTTATAAAGCAGTTTAATCATCGGCCCTGGTTACAACACAGCCCTCCCCTATGAAATGACAAAATCAACACGAATGTCTGATAAGGGATTTCACTATGTAAACACATGCTGCTTTTCTAATTTTATACAATTATCAAATCGAACAATCTGCACTTGGTTTGACAACGCACAAATAACCCCATGCTGAGGAACGATGATTAAGTTGTTGTATATAAGCTGAGATTCTGTGAATTCTGGCTTAATGAGTCTACTTTGATAAAGTCATTAGCAGCAGCATTAAATAGCGAAACGTCAGTAAAAACAGCAATATCTTTTTGTTTTTCATTCATTGGAAAATAAAAAAAAACCTTTATTATAATGAATATCGCATAAACCCAATGACCAAATATTTTCAAACTGTTAAAAGTGAACTTGGTTTGGACATGTATAATATAATCCTACTATGTTTATTATTTTTTTTATCCGATCGTCCTGTAATTTGATTAAATCGACCCTTGACCGGGAAGAGTTCTGGAACTTTCTTTCTCACCCATTCACGAAATAATAGGTACACGAATATACATACATTTTGTAAATTATACGCTAATGTGCAGTTTATCTTCTTCTATTCGTTTTATTTTACAATCTAACTTAGCTTGACGCATATAAACTCACTAGTAAAGCCAATAAAATTCACATTTGAATCGGAAAATGAACAAGGAGAATTGGCTATGAAGTTAGATTGTTAAATAAAACGAACAGAAGAAGGTAAACTGCACACTAGCGTTTATAAAAAAATTAACGCATTCTGCTAATAGATGTTTAGACTTTAATTCGTCTCATTGGTTATCTCTCTGTGAAGGCAGGCTTAGTTAAGTGTCTAACAAACCGAGCAATAACAACACTGAGTAGTACAGCAAAAAACCTAAACGACTAAATGAAACAGATACAAGAATAGCTGGTTGGTGTTAAATAACTAACTGTCCTATAAAATTCATTAGGAAGGTGAGAAAAGGTCAGAAGCAAAATAAAAATAACGGTGAAACTAATAATGAAAACATAAATAAAAAAGAATATAAGGCATCTACAGTTATATCATACAAGGAGGGGACATCTGAGACCCTACGTAGGATTCTTAATAAAGCAGGAATTAGAGTGGCATTTAAACCTACAAACTCACTCAGGTACGATAAGCTCTGTAGGTTAAAGGATCCAGTGGGTTGATCCAATTAAACAAAATAATATAATTTACAAAATACCCTGCAATGACTGTTAGTGAGGTCAACTAAATGAGTCAAACTAGTAGATGAGGAGTAGTCAGATTGTCAGAACATAAGAATTTAGCTAAGATTGGAATGATTGACCCCACGAAGATAAGTAATTTAGAAAAAAAACTCAGCAATAGCACTAAATGCATGAATTAACACACAACAGGGTGGGTGGGACAGAGTCAAAATTCTAAAAAGTAGTATAAGTAGGTAGAGAGAGAGAGGTAGTTGATTACTGAATCCTGGTTCATCGAGTCTATACTGAACACATGCAATAGGAATGACTCATCACTCATACCAGAAATATGGGAAATACTACTACCAATCAAGTCAAGCGATGAGTGGAAATAATGGAATTATATAAACGAAGTTGGAAAGTTGTGTGAGCAGTGTCTTGATATGATTATGAGCAGTAATAAATTGTGCTTGAAACGTGGTCATCTGTAAATAAATAATACCGTATCTCACTATGTGTGTGGGTATGTGTGTAGAATCTTATCAAGTAAATTTATTCTAGACCGGAATTATACTCTACGACAACTGTCAAGTTCTGTTATTATTATTACGTCAATGAATTCAATCAATGCAAGTGTAATAATACCACTGAACATAATACTTTTTAAGTAGTGTTCACATACAATATCCACTGTACCAATTAACTTTCATGTCTAGAAATAGCACTTAGCGCAAAATTACTTAAGACAAATAAGAATAATACACCAGGATAGACAAACGGTAAAACAATTAGCTTGTATTAAAAAAAAATAGTTATATACTTTTATTCACCAGGATATGCAAACAAAACCTCATAAAGTTTGAGTTCTAATCACACCATACTAATATGTATTAGTTTTACACTAATCGACAATATACACAGAAATTTCATACATTTATTCCCCTTAATGAATTTAAACAAAGCAAGAACTACAGTTTTAGCAGAATAAATTGGTACCATCATCGCTTATTTCGTTGGCTTCTCATCAGCTCAGCTGCTTACAGGCCCAAAGTCATTATTAAGTATATGTACAGAAACAATTTTAACATACTCACACATAGTTCATTTTTAAATAAAAATCAACCACTATATGCAAGCAGTAATAATATATATAATAATATTAAACACTATTCCGAACAATAATAATCATACACAATGAAAACTTCTCAGCATCTCGCATTCGGATGAAAAATATCTAGTTACCAGGCAGGGCAAAGAAAGACTGATAACCGCTTTTTTCTGAACGCATAAGTCAGGTTTCAGGCGCTTGATGGAAATGGCTTCAGCAAACTTAAGGAGAATTGAGCTCTTTTGCTTATTGATAGTTTTGAACGATCTTGTGACGCACATCTCATGACCCGTGTTGAGGAGATGCCTGGTGATGGCACTGTTTAAAGCATTTGTTCCCTTTAGACGTAAGCTTCTTGGTACATGTTCAGAAAATCGTAGATATGCCCTTCTTTCTGTTTTTCTAATGTAACTGCTCCCGCTGATTATTATTGTTCGGAATTGTGTTTAATATTGCATATATATATATAATTAGTATATGCGTATATTCGTCGATTGATTTTTGTTTAAAAATGAACTCTGTGCAAGTATGTCAAAATTGTTTTTGTAGATATATTTAATAATGTCTTTGCCCTGTAAGCAGCTGATGAGAAGGCAACGAAATAAACAATGATGGTACCATTTTATTCTGCTAAAACTGTAGTTCTTGCTTTGTTCAAATATACAAAGACTTTGTAACTTGTATCAGCCAACCACAATCATTCATTATATGCTAATGACAGAGTTGAAAATATTTATTTTCAAGAATTAACTTAATGATAAAAAGTAGAGGAAGAGAAGGTGGGGTTAGGATAACAGATAATATTAGATGGTTGGAAACAAACGGTAGGAAACCTTGTCTGAACTAACTAGGTTTCGTGCTTGTTGACACTTATCAGTAAACCTGGAGGAAATGATGTGCCCCCCCGCCTCTGAGATTCGAAACCAAGTCAGTCACCAATCAACGTGTGAGTATGAATAGCTCAATGGTAGCAACTCTGACTGAAATATTGAGTGATACGGGTTCGAATTCCACAGGAGACATTACAGTTCCTTCAAGGTTGCAGATACGCCATGCTGATTAGTGCCAGGACTTTCTGCGAACTGCCTCCAACTGTCTAACATCAATTCAGAGTGTACCACGATGGTCACTCTCATTTATCTTGGTGACCACATTACAACACCGACTGATAAGATTTAGTCTGTATCAGCACCAAGGACTAGGTGAATGACATTAGTTACTCTCTAGTGACCAATATCATTTATAATATGATAATCAGATAAAGTACGGAAGAAGGTGTATCGATAGAGATGACCAGGGAAATGTGTTAAACACATGCATAAACATCGCTTTCCACAATGAGCATATTCGATTGATATAGAATTATGTTGGAAAAGACGTACATACGTATGAACCATCTGACTGTAGTCGTTGGAATGGAAAGAAACCAAGAGAATAGACTGCTGGTAATATGCTCCCAAAAGCCGTTCACAATGACACAGATGTATTGACTTCATATGATGTTCAAGGCTGTGGAAATTCTCGTTATTTTGAGTCTAAACATACCCCCCCCTACACTTCTGTGTATTTTTAACCATTCCAGTTCTATGGGTATGGTTTTATGAAATTGTATAATTTGAACTGATGAACTTTTTGGTGGAAAGTTGAACGTTGATAATACAGTTCAGTTCAGTGGAAGGTAGACGCCAATACAAGAGTACGAAGATGTAGTCCTGTTAAAATGTTGCTGATGTTGTTTTCGCATGAACAAAAACAATAGTTGTGTGTAAAGGCTGATGATACTATCCAGTTTTTAGGCCGAAGTATGCAGAAAGGGGTTCGAACCCGGTACTCAATGATTCAATATTGACGAGTCACACACTAAATGAACTAAATATTGATCGTGATACTATGTTAAATAAAAAGATAATGAGATAGAAAACAAGGAGAGAATGCATTATGGCGTCATTCCTGTGAGTTCCGAGTGGAACAAAGAACTCCAACATTTAGCGTTGGAGTCTCAAGTATCGGTGGGAAGTGTTTTATTGTTATTGTGGGATGAGGTCGCTAGCCTCATACCCGACTTGTTCTGTTACTAGTGACTAAGCGACGTCCAGTAGCTGTCCGGAACCGAAATCCTGACTACATCCGTGGTTGACGAGCATTTTACCGACGGTTTCTGGCTGACGCACTACTAAAATTCCCTTAGCCAGCAATAGGAACAGTAAAAACGGAAGGCTGGGCGAGAGATTAGCAAACTCACCGAGTAAAATCACAACCGTTAAAGCTCAGATTCGGAGACCTGCTTCACTGGAAATGCAAAGGAATAATGACTTATAGCAAAACTAACTGGCTATTCGAAAACATTTATTTCACCATTGCCAACAATTTGAGAAACAAACCTCACTAAAAATAGTCTTCAATAATTAGCAATTCTCTTAAAACGCACGAAACACTAAACCGCAACAATCTACACAACTCTAAACAGTATACAAAATTAGTTAGATTGAAAGAATTGATAGCACTTTCATGCCTTGGTCTGACCAATTGTAGTTCTTTTCTAACTAACTCCTACTTATATTATTCTGTGGAGGGTGACTAGCAGTGAAATGCAGGATCCACGCATTTCGTCCCGATCCGGGACTCATCATCTGGATGTACCAGTGAATAGTGTTCCCATTTAAACTGGAACCCAGTGCCGTTCATGCCGCGGTCCAAGTGATCTTGCGGCTAAAACTTTGATATTTGAAACAAAGGCTACTGAGTACGAGTCTCAGTGGAAACAGCATCACTCGTTGGTGCGGGTGGGAGGGATTGCGAGTACATCCTGGATTCCACTGCTAGTCACCATCTGCCGAACAATATCAGTGTGCATTCCCACACAACGTCGATCAACCCTGTCCATCAGGAAAAAGAAGTTACTCAGAATGCGGAACACACTCACCAATTATTCAAAGAGTGTAAAGGTGTTTCTCAGTGTGACGGTTAACATAACAATCTAAGGCATTAATTATTACATACATAGTCAGTCAGTCATAAACTTACATTTGATGCGAGCAGATTCATCACCGCCTCTGATTTAATGATTTCATTCCCAAAGACAGCAGCTTTATGATCCATAACACCATCTGGAAAACCGCCACCTCCACCGGTAGCAGAAGCAACAGATGCTATGGCCGCAGACGAAGATGGCAAATGTGATGATGATGCTGACATCGACGATAAGTATGTGCTAACACCAGGACCAATAGCTGTATCTACATACTTTGCATATAGATTATGCCTTTGCATATTCCAAAATTCATGATTATTCACCGGAATATCAATACCTCGTCCACAATAGATTAGATCAGTTCGTGCACAGGAGCCAATATTTTTTTGAAGTTGTATTATTGATGAGTCATTATTCGAATTGGTAGTGTTAGTATTGGCAGTAGTAGCAGTGGTAGTAGTCTGTGGATAATTTACTTGCCTATTCCATATACGCACCAAATGTGACCATGTCGATCGGTAGGCATCACTGTAAGTAAGTAAGTAAAGTGATTGACAGATAGAGAATAACACAGAGATCAGTGCATAAACAATGATAAACAACAAACAATAATCGATTCTTTAAAAATCAGACAATCAATCAAAAAGGCAATAATAGTACAGACACAACTCTGTGTGTGTGTGTGTTGTAACTTTCAGAGGCAACAACATTATTATTATTGTTGTTTTAATTTATGAGGTCACTCTTATAGTTAGAGTAATTTCCGGATGACTTAAATTTTAAAAAAAATAATGAAAATCTTGAAAATTAGTACACATAGTGATGTTTAAAAACAATACAACAACATTAAGGCAAGCTGAAATTTAAAAAAAAACTTATTTTTCTATAGTTGGGTTAGTTTTGTTTTTACGAGTTGATCACTGATTCTGATATCAGTTAGAGAACCATTGGAAACCACAACTGGAGTACTACTGGACAGCTGTTTCGTCAGCCTAGTTTGGGAATTATCGGCAGTACGCACTCACCAACAGGGTTCAAACCCAGGACCTTCCGGTTACAAGGCGAGTTCGTATACCATTTAGACACTGGGACCCGATTCAATGACCACTCCATGAATTCTAACTTCTTACAATTCGTGATTTAGCGCGACCCCAAACAATGTCGTCGGTGGGAATGGTATACGAGCTTGTCTTGTAACTGGAAGGTCCTGGGTTCGAACCCCAGTGAGTGAGTACTGTCGATGACTCCCAAACTAGGATGAAACAGCTGTCCAGTACTCCCTGTGGCAGGATATACTGCTTCTGACATTGTTGACTTGTATGAGTGGCTTAACAGTAGAATGCTAGCCAGCAATGCACATAATCCGTGTTCAAATCTCTACCAAATACACTCCCAAACCACCTCTCCCAGTTTACTAACAGATAGTTAGTTAGCCCTTAAGAAAATGGAAAGTTGACAGTGTAAGGTTAGCAGCAACCGTGAGAGTAACACCACTCCTACTAAAACTTCAAAGCCCAAGCTTGGAAACAACCCAGTTTTACTTGTAACCAACGAAGGGAATCAATGAGAAAGAAACGCTGAGTGAACACAACTACGCCAAAAAAATAGTCCCACCACCATCAGTCATTCAATTGTTTCCTTAATCAGTGTCTTCTGCTAGTCTATGCAAGAGGATTATACTCTGCGTTTTTTCTTCAAAACAAAAAGTGAACATCGATGATGAGTGTCACGACGATACTTCCTTCGTTCTTAGATGGATTACCATAAAGATTTCACACAGATAACTGTTATCCATGAGAGTCAGCGAACCAGTCAACATTTATACACTAAATTTTGCCAGGTTCATGAAATACACTAGGGCAAGTGTTACATACATTATTGATGCATACATAGGCTCAGGATGTCTGCTAGCATTCAGGTTATTCATATCTCCTGTGTAACTAAACACATATAGATACTAACATTGACACTCCAAAAATAAAATTAACGGTGCGGTTTGCAGAAAACGAGAAATGATATCAACATAGCTACCGAGAATTAAGCGGATTAAATTGGTAATGCAAAAAAAAGAATTAGAGTACACGGATGAAAAGGGTAGATACCAATTATTGATTATTTTGTACAACTACAAAGCATTCTACTAAGCTGCTAACATCTGGGACCTGACACACATTGGATATTTAAGACTATTAGACTTTGAAGATCTATAAAAACATTTCAAGAAAGCCTCACTAGAATAAGTCGTCAAAGACTAGATGTATCTTTTTCAAAGACCACCACCTTTTTCCAGCACCTTCCAGATCACGACAAAGAGACAAACGAGAATTCTGATGCTAGCGTTATTCAAAGTCCTTTCTTATAGTTAGTATCACTTTTAATAAAAATTAGTATTATTAAAGCACAAAATCGCGTCGGTGGCATAGCGGTTAGGACGCTCGCCGACCATGCACATGGTCCGGGGTTCGATCCAAGGCCACCGACGAGGCACTCCTTTACCTCGCTAAGTCAGAAATAATGCTGGTGAAGAGGAAAGGTTGGGCATGAGGCTGGCTAGCAACCCCATCCTGTAAAAATAAACACTGCTAAAGAAACTTCAAGCCACTAGCTTGAAGCCCTATGTTCCACTGGGGAACGTGAAGGGAAAAAAAGCACAAAATCGATAGACTATGGGCATTAGGAGTGTCAAGCCCCTGTGACACTGTCCAGATACCCTGACCGACATAAATGGTTGTCTTGAGGGGTCACCCGTCCTCCCAGAGGCCTTCGATGACCATGTCCACATTTAGACCATAGGAGCGTGGAATTAGTGTTTTCCAGTTCCAGCATGCCTACCAGTCGAGTTCTAGACACCAGACGTTCGAGAACTCACTCATTCATTTTGTGAGAAACATTTCAGGCGCATGAAGCAAAATGAATAGAACTTATCTGACTGGCAAAGGCTATGAACGCGTGACCAAATGAAAGCATATCGAGAGGAAGACTGAAGTCTACCCTGCCCTCAAAGCCATGTGTATCAGGTAAATTTACGGATAGATAATTTTACTGAAACTTACACATAACAAGATACTGGATTGGAGTCATTTGTTGCATTGATTAAATTTTCCATTTCTAATTCATCTTCTACACTACCGGCGTCATCATCATCACCACCACCAACTTGATGCGTGTCTTTGACATCTGTCTCATCGACCGAATGTTGTGGCGCATGATGATGATGATGAGGATAATGTTGATTGTCGTCAATATGTTGTTGTAAAGGAAACGCTGAAGATGATGATGATTTCTTTGAATAATTTTCTTTTCGTTCGTTATTATTCATAGAATATAATACATGTGAAATATGTCCTTTTGTATCATGTGAATCAATACAATTGGAAATGGAATGAATATCTGAAGGTGTGGCGGATGAGATGGAGGTGGGGAGGATGCTTTTATTATCCAAATGAGAGTGACGATGACTATGTAAGTCACCCGTTTTATCTACAAAACAAAAAAAATGTAGAAAGTTTGTACAAAAGGATGTCACACATCTGAAGTTAATGAAATAATGATATAATCAACACATAGAAGTGACCAAAATTGGTTAGTGAAGAGAGCTGGAATGAACAAATACTGTGTGCTATTTCACTCGAATGCATGGATGATATAGTCCTCCCTCCTAGGTGAAGATGCTGACAAAATAGAGCAGAGTCTTCTGAACACCTTGAGGATCAATCTTAGATGTTCGGCATGAGATTCGCTCCTGTTGTAAAATGTACGATGATGCCACATGACTGGACTGGACTGGACTACATCGACTCATTTCCGACTTAGAGATAGGCAGGAGTGAAGGGGTTGGTGGAGTGTATAAACCATTTCACTTATTTGGGGAGTTAAATCAGCCCTAACGGGTTGATCACTGACGATATCTCAGAACGGATACAATGGGCTCATTTGGTATACGCCAGCCATTTCTGGCTTATTAGAGGTGATATCTGGCTGACTGTCAACCAAAGGGTGTGTGTACTGCTCAGTAGTTCGCTCCGCCCTCCTCCTTTATGGCTAACTGTGAATGGGACATAGCCATTGGAAGTGGAAGACATTGAAAGTCTTCCATCATAAGTGTCTGCTTTCTATCTCTAGTGTTAGGAGGTATAATAAGGTGAGCAATATTGAGGTGAGGCTTCGATTGAAAGATATGGTTAGGACATGTGTTACGCATGCGTCCCCCTAGCTGTCGATCGCCAGCCTTCCTCGACAACGGTCAATGTTAGCTGACATTTCTGACGGATCAGGTTGGAAAAGAGTTAGCTAGTGGTGATCACACCAAAGCATGGTGGCATCAGTCAACGAAATCCATAACAGTTAGTTTAAACCAGCCAGTCATATAGGGAGGTCTAGACTGCCTGGTTGATTAAGGTCCTTAGGATGATAAAAACCAATGACGCCTGGAGACAATTGGTGATATGGCTCAAAATCGTTGTCATTGGCTGGCACAGATGCATTCATTCTTTGTGATTTATCATAACCAATTCAATTCTATTGTTCTTCCATATTACTATTCATTTCCCCTCATTCACACTTCTGTTTATTATTGAGATTGAGATGGCATTTTGGGCCAGCTATGTAGGTGTAGACTGTCTTACTGAGGTTCACAGGATGATTAGAACCAATGCCTGGAGACTATTGGTGATACGGCTAACAATCCCTTCTCAATGATTCAGATGCATTCACTCTTTGTAACTGATTGTGATTGTTTTGAATTTCTGTTTTTCGTTTCTCTGCCTTTGTATGCAGTATGGAATTTGGGAACTTCAAATGGTACACTTCTGTGAAAAGTTCTAAGTTGTACCTCACTCAATCAGTCATACATGACCTGCTAAGGGACCTAGATGAGTAGATTCCAGTCGTTGCCTCGAAATTTTCCCAAGCTGCCACTTACTGGTGGGTCCTATTCACAATACATTTTCATCACACAGTGTCAAGTTTTTTCACATAAGTGGGCAGGTAAATAAGAATATCTCAAGGATTATTTGCACCACTAGTAAATACACGTGGTTAAGCACGGTAACTTCAACTAATGGTCTTCATTAGCACGTACACATTGAGTATACTAACCATATTTGACCTATATCAGTTACACTACCAGCCAAACACACATTATGATGAGCAATAACAAGGATCTTGGGAGTACAAAGTTAATAATTCAATGACAGCAATCATCCCTCAACATGCCTACCAAGAATAAAGCCAGGTACTATGGATATGTGCTGCTGAAACCTTTATGTTCCACTCAGAAGGCAAGGTATGAATAATAATAATAATAGACTGTGGAAGACATTCATGTATGAAGTATCTAGTAAAATGAAAATCACTTTAGTGTGGTCATTGCCCAGTGTCTACCACTTGATATCCAGAGAACTCACTGAGAAGTAAACCACATGAAGTTCTAAACGACGACATCAAAACCCTCTCTCCAACTCACCATTACGAAAGCCGTATACTATCCAGCTACTCCGTATGGGTGATCATAACAGCTTGACAAGTCGACAACAGTTAAACGCTGTTGTGGTTAAAAAGACTTTTTATGAAGCCAAGATCATAATAATTGAGAATGTGAAGCCCCATATCCATCTAAGCCCTTAGAACATGCGAAAAATGATGTCCCATCCCACTGTATTTGCCGATTTGAATGTATTTGTGGCCACACATACATAGGAAGGATTTATTGATCTCTGCAAGTAAGGGCTAGGCTTCAGAGCATATTCCTAAGTGGCTTCAAAAGCAAATAGAATCCCCAGAACCCATTAATGGTGAAAACAGACGACAACCTAGCTCCTCTATTGCGAAACATATTATAGAGACAGGACATTAAATTGATGTTTACACATCTATTATAAACCTATCTATAAAACGTGTTTGCGGGAGGGCGTGTCCTAAAGTTTGTGGAAGGCCTAGCTGGCAATTAGGGAGTTTAAACCACCTTAATGCGGTCATAGCAACAATTTGTTATCACAAAAAACCCTCTTCGGTAAACTTTGTTTTGATACCACCACCTAGGGCAGATGTACTATTACTTCTCTCGTTTGGTTTTGTGATCTTCATTGTTATTTTGACCTTCTACATATGTCCTTTTTAACTTGATCTAAATTTATTTTCGCACCTCTTAACTCTTTATTAATTTCATATATATGTACTCGTATGACAAGTTCGTGTGTGATTAGATTTTTCGAAATGTTTTGCACAAATACATTACACAATTCAGACAATTTAAATATTATACAATTGCCATATTTCATTTAGTGGAGTCAAGCAATACGTCGTGTTCTATCCCACTGGACATCTGATCCCATTCTTTACAATGACGAAGGTAGTTGTTGTGAAAAAATAAACCATTTTTTTTGTTTCAGTTACTCTAACGAAGTTGATGGTCAGGAAAGCTTCGTGTGCTTCTGAAAGTGTGTGTGTGTGTATGTGGCTATTACATCCCGGATGCTTACGTCGTGGAAGTTGATGCCTATTTGCGGGGAGGGGGAGAAGGTAAACAGAAGAAACGCATTAGCGTTGACCAGGCAACAGCTGCTAGAGGCAGGTTACACACCCAGTTTGAAATGATTTTAGAGTTATGTCCCAACTAAGATCTTATTGTAACTGCGGACAACTTCAAGGTTAGCCGAGACATATGCTTTTCGGGACTGACCTTTTCTACCTCTTCCTCTCCAGAACACGAAGGCACCATACACCTAGCTTCCTGGTCATCCAAGGGAAACGACTTACTGCTGTCTCATCCCTTTTCGACAGCAGGACGATTTCGTTCACAGACGCACAACAACTTACAATATGATGGTAAATACATTCAGTCTCAAACCCCAAATAGACCACCTTTTACAAGCACGACGGAACCTGAAGGAACATAGGTTCCAATCAGTATAGCTCATTGAGTCAATCCGATATGCAAGCCAAAGCGCACCATGTCAAGGTGGCAGTTATCGATTGCTGGTAAAGACTGAAGAGCTGAGAGATAAATCAAGTGGATATAGAGAAAAAAAAAATACAAATCTAACAACCATTATACGAGAAACACATCCCTAAGATGACATCTGAAACTATCTATCAAACACGCAAATTATACAGGATTTCATCATGAGCTGACATTAGTTAGAGAACCATTGGAAAACCTGCCAGGAGTACTGGACAGCTGTTTCGTCAGCCTGGTTTGGGACTCTTCATCGGTACGTACCCTCGGGGTTCGAACCCAGGACATTCTGGTTTCAATGCGAGTTCTTAGACCATTAAGCCATTGGGACCCAATCCGATGACCAGTCCATGAATTCTAACTTCTGCCAATTCACGACATAACGCGACCACTAGCCAATGTTTTCAGCGAGTATTTGTCCGCACAACCGACCTGTTGCACCCTACTGGTCACTCTCAGGTGGGTTTTCCAATGGTTCTCTAACCAATGTCAGCTCATGATGAAAATCCTGTAACCAATCAAATCCCTACAAACCAACACTTGAATAAGCAAATTAATTATACACCAATAAGCATAGATAAACGATTTGCCTAAAAAAATAATAATAATAACTGCAACTGAACGAAAAAACAAAAAAAAAACGCAACTTTAAGCTTACTTTGAAGACCACCAGCAGTAGCAGCAGCAGCAAGTCTGTTTTCTTTAACATCACCACCAACAACATTATCCCCAGTGGGAATAGGCATTTCTATATTTTCATCGAGTTTCGACGGAGGTGAAACTTTTGACAATGCATACTTATCATTGTGTTTACTTTCAGATGGACAGCATAAACGATGCTTTTTCTTCTGATGCCTGGAAGAAGGATAATAATCACCGGTCTCCGGTTTCGTCGTTACTTCATCTAATTCATCGGGTGCAGGAGGAGGAGGGGTAAGAGGAGAATTACAACTGGAACTTGTCATTGTAGTGTCACTGGATTCATTGTCATCATCAGATCCAATGTAACAATCAGAATCTTCACATTGCGATGCACTAAATGATGAGGATAACGATGATTCTGAAGCGGAATAATAATACTCATCTAGATTTGATTGCAATGAATACGGAGAGGAAATCGGTGAGGATAGATTAGTAGCAGTAGTAGATGAATCATAACATGATCGATACTTCTCTTTCTTTTGAGAAGATTCTTCACATTTCATCAATCGATGAAGGATACGTTTCTTATGCCGTTTATCATAAAATCGATTGCATGGTTTTGGTGTATTTGGTACAGAATTGGATTTCATTTGTTTTATTTGAACACTTGACACGTCAGGTTTTTCTGATTGTTCATCTAATGGAATGCAGGGAGGAGGAGGAGGTGGGGGAGAAAAAAAACAAGAAGACATATGAAGTGAGAATAGAAGTTATTGCAAAGTGTTTTTGCGCAAAGTATAGTGAATGCCCAAGTGATTGAATGGTCAACATGAGGGGCCCAGGTTCGAAACCTGGTGGGGTCATGAGTGCGTACTACTGAAGTGTTTAAACTAAGACAAAGCACCTGTGTAAATGTGTCGGTGATTCCAGGACAGAATGCTTATCAACCATATACGTGGTTCGGGTTCAATTCTCAGCCAACGCATTTCTAGACCTCAATTAGCCGGGGGAAAGCCGAGTAAACAGACACCGTTGACAGCATAACTCCAAAGTTGAAGCTTGAAGCCCTATATTCCATTTTGAACGCGAAGGAATGAAAAAATAAAAAACATACGCCACAACACCTTTAAAATAGCCAAGTATAAGATGATGAGATTACAGAAGCACGTAATACAGAATCACAAACTAACTCAACTTGATGAAATTTAAATCTTAATTCATCGCCTCCATTCTATCTATTCATCAATCAATTATTACTGAAATGAAAGAGCAGCAAGCCCGTTTAACTTATATGCCCATTCCAGAAAGGGATAGAAAAATATATTGCGTATGTTATTGAACTACTTATAAGTAGTATAAAATTGTAATACTAAGAACAATGGGCTGTAAACTGAATAACTTGACGACACTAAGCAAGTGCAGCAGCAAACCAGTGTCCCTTTATAGTATATATTTTCTGAGAAAAAGTGGTAAGCAATACACCGAAGTGGATCAGAAACGGGACAGCCTTAGGATTTGAAAATAATGGAGATTTTCAATATGCCGTTTCCTCTGGGCCAGATGATTTCATTGAGAGGAAGCTTCCTTTTGGATGAAATCTTATATTAAGTCATCGCTGAAGGTGTTGGCTAGACAGACAATAAAACAATCTAATTACCAATTACCACGTGTCGGCAGCACAGCGGTAGAATGCTCACCAACGCACTCCTTGACCTCGCTAAGCCAGTAATAAGACTAGTAAAGAGAGGGAAGGTTGGGCATGATGCTGGCCAGCAACCCCATCCATCCCGTTAAAATAAACACCACTACTACTAAAACCCCAAACACTGATAGAATTCTTGGGTTTCTAGCGTAACACAGGGGCGGGGGCTTTAAGCGGTGATATTACTAATCTAACAATCAACCTTCCCTCCTTTTCAGAGCTTGTTGTCAGTGAGTAAATAAGGCAAAGGTTAGGAGTGCATCGGACAAAAATAAAATCCCGGCCATCTGGTGTGGCTGGGCGCCCCCCCCCCCAAGTACTCATCTATGGAATACTAATCTGAATCTATGGAATACTACTTGAATAACAATGAGATGCTCACTGGTGACTGGCCCTAATCAGGTAGGTAGTTAGTTACCTGAGGTTCCAGTGGGGAGTCGTGACCAGTAGAGTGCATCAGGTCGGTTGTGAGGACAAATACTCGCTGAATACATTGGCTAGTGCTCGCGCTATGTCGCGAATTGGCAGAAGTTAGAATTCATGGGCTGGCTATTGGATCGGGTCCCAGTGGCTTAATGGTCTACGAGATCGCCTTGTAACCAGAAGGTCCTGGGTTCGAGTCCCGGTGGGTACGCACTGCTGAAGAGTTCCAAACCAGGACGAAACAGCTGTCCAGTACTCCTGGCAGGTTTTCCAATGGTTCTCTAACCAATGTCAGTTCATGATGAAATGCTGTAACCAATCAACCAAATCCCTACAAACCAATACCTGAACTTTTATTCCTTTATTTTGTTATGATTCCCACAAATTCCCCCCAGCACACACACACCGCAAAACTTCAGTATGCATTTTTTCAATTCCCCAGCAGACGCAAAAGATAAGTGTTACAATATATTAATAATTCACCGTTATTTTCACGCATACACAAACATATAGATACAAAATAAAGTGAAAAATAATTAATTAACTGAATAAAACTCCGAGTGCAATTGGTGAGGAAACAAAAAAAAACTGAATGCATATTCTCCACTCTCTACTATCTATCTCTATCTTTTGGAAAATAAATTTTCCGTGACTTTAAAAAATTAAAAAAAAAACAGAATATTCTTTGTTTGTTTCCATTTTTTTGTTTTCTGTAAAAACAAGATATTTCGCCTTTTTGATGTTTGCTTCCGATTGAATGAACTATAGCATAAATTGATTAAGTTTCTTTACGGTACAAATAAGAGAAACAGAAAAACGACTACTCTCTCAAACAAAAAAGCTAATTTCGTGATTATTTGCCTAATATTCTCAGCAAACTTCAATATTCATTTTTGAATGCTTAGTACATAGAGAGAGAGAAACAAAGAGATAAGTCAGAACATATTTACTTTTGGTTTAAAACCCCACACTAATCCCGAAAAACCATCTGGTATGACTGAGGGTGGGAAGATTCCCGGCTTTCTCTACAAATGCTCTTCTGTGGGGTCATAGCCTCTGCCAGCCAAGTAAGCCCCATTCACTCACCCTTCCTGACAAAAAGAGAAAGTGTGGATACGCACATCTAACGCTTACACAACCGAACTGGTGGACATGATTAGTCTACTTAGCGTAGCAGAAAAACCCTGATTCCAAATATATAGTTTGTATAGACTACGAATAAACAAGCAGAAAAAAAAACTACTTCGCTACTACGGGGTGCCACCGACAATAATACATCTCATCCAACAGCTATACGACAATGCTGCATGCCAAGTAATCCATAACGGGAAACTTACGGAACCCTTCGAACTGAGGACAGGAGTAAGACAAGGCTGCCTACTATCGCCAATGATTTCCTTGATTGCAGTAGACTGGATAATGCGACAAACAGCGGGCAATGAGGAAACAGGCATAAAATGGACACACAAAAAACTTGGAGGATCAAGACTTCGCCGATGTGATATATGCCTGATTTCCCACAAACTGGAAGACATGCAAACGAAAAGCAACAAGTTGGAGATAGAAGAAGCATCAAAGATAGGACTTCAGGTGAACATAGATAAAACAGAGGTGATGAAAATTCCTGGGCAACACCACCAACAGCAACAACAACAACTGACAACAATCAGCATAAATGGGAGGAACTTGAAAGAAACAACCTCCTTTACCTACCTGGGAAGCATCGTTTCAACTACAGGCGGAACTGACGAGGATATCAAAGCAAGAGTCGGAAAAGCAAGACAAGCTTTCACTACTATCAAGTCTGTGTGGAAGTCAACAACACTCAGCATCAAAAATAACATCCAGATTTTCAACTCCAATGTGAAGTCAGTGCTACTCACTATATGGATCAGAGACTTGCACTGCGCGTCATAAAGAGCATCACAAACAAACTACAGGCCTTCATTAACAGTTGTCTTCGCTCAATACTCAAGATCAGATGGCCGGTCAGAGAAGATCAGCAACAGAGATCTCTGGCAATGAGCGAACCAACACAGCAGGAACCGATTGTGAAACAAACAGGCAGGAAGAAATGGAGATGGATTAGTGGCCATACTCTGAGGAAACCATCAAGTGACATCACTAGACAAGCCATTACTCGAATGGAACCCGAAAGGGAAGCGGCGAGTTGGTCGTCAGTGCAAGGGTGACTTGGAGGAGGTCATGTGAAGAGGAGATGAAAGCGTGTGGGCAGACTTGAAGCCAGGTGAAGACTCTAGCAGAGAACCGAACGCAATGGAGACGCACGGCTGAAGCCCTATGTTCCTGTAGGAATTAAAGGATGCAATAATAATAAATAATAATAGACTACGAAATTTAGAAAGGATCTAATAGGGTATGAATATGTTCTGATCACCGGAAACTATGGTGAGAACGTAACGACACCTGACACTGCTGAAACACCTCGCGAATCAGACTTCAACTTGAAAGCTCAGCAGTAGGGTGGGGCTGCTTAGGAAAACCATACGCTTTGGTCTAGGCATCTCGGCGCGGTATCCTCCAGACCTCGTACAACCTATTATATTTTTGTGAGGTATCTGTTGGTGTCCATAATGTACTAAATTTGTGTTTTGATAATAATTAGTAGTAGCTACATTCAAACTACAATGATATCTGAGGGACAGAATACACACACACATAGATGCATAAATATCAGCACCTCCAAAAAGAAGTCTATAAAAAATAGCTTAATCAGTCGTCCGATATAATTTCATATACAAAACTATGACCATTGTTGTTATTCTGATCACAAAGTCATTGGTGCTGAACTATTAGTGAAAAAATGGAGACACCACTCCTTCCATGATCCACTCAAAACTGCTGATGTCACCTACAACTGCGTTTATGAATTTACGTGCACTTGCGGGAGCAAGTACATTGGAAGGACAGAAAGAAGGGCTTCTATCCGGTTTTCTGAACATATTCCAAGAAACCTATGCCTGAAAGAAAACAAATATTCTCAGAGTGCAATTACCAGACATATTGTTGATACCGGACATCTCGTAGAGATTTCTAAGTCCCTCAAAATATTAAATAGACAAAGGACAGCAAATTCACTACTATTTGCCGAAGCAATCGCAATCAAACGATTTAAACCAGACTTATGCATACAGAAAGAGAGTGTGATTAACCTCTCACTCCCTTGGTAACTGAATTTTGATTTTGATTACAACAATTAGTCATCTAATTCAGTTATCTCAACTCACTGAGCAAATCTCAATCTTATAAACTGTAAATGCTATTGTTTTTTGGAGTTGCCATGTGAACCTACAAGCTAACACTGTTTCTGTTAATCAATTTTTCTGTTTTCTGTATTACCCCTCCCCACTCTTTTCAACTTTAAAAGCGTATAAATTGATGATGATCACTTAAACTAAAAATTGTAATGCTTTCATTCTTTTTTGGATGCGTCAATTTTATCTCTTCTCTACTACTACTCAAACATTAAAGTATGTTATTATCATTTATATAACCGTGGTAATTTCAGGTAGTCAATGGCAGCTGATGAGAACCTGTGAAATAGAATGATATCATTTTATACTGCAAATTTCGTCTTCCTTTCTTTATCGAAAAATGGAGTTTTGCTTGTCGAATGAAGAAAACGTATTTCCCCACATTAAAAACAGGAGAGAAAGGAACTGTGGAACAACTTGTAAAGAAGACGTAAGATGTAAGCAAACTATAAAATGACGTATATCTCCAAATGAAAAACATAAACTTAAACCCCAAGTTAACTTGAAAACGAACAAAAGAAAAGAAAAGAAAAAAAGCCTCTTCAATTTAAAATGGATTCCTGAAAGTTTTTATGGAATATAAAATAAAGCTGTAAGAGTGAATAATGATAACAGCAGTGATAACAGTCATTACTAGAAACTGGCAATGACGACTGGAAGTGAAGTATTTCAGGGCCTTCATGTCTACATGCTCTAGGATTGCTAGTGAAATAACCCCGATCTTCAGATGTTTCATCAACACACCGAAATTTTAACTACGTTTATGAGGTGAATAGAGCATGAAGGCGTCGTCTCTTTATCAATGCAATCGATTCTGAGTCACAACATTGAGGGTTTTTCTCACTGAGCATATCAGACATCGCTACACCACCATACATCATACACCAACAAGCGGATAGTCTCACAACTTTATTCCTAACTCTGAAGATACAGTATCTTCAAGTAACCTGTGTTTCAGTATATTTATTAACACATTGCTAGCAAAACAGAAAAAGAAAATATAGAAAACAAAATTCGGCCAAATTCAAAACTACAATCACAGTTTCTGACAAACTATAACAAAAATGGAACTATAAGGGCAACGAACTCCAGTCAAGGAACTTATCGCCCAACAAATTATGCAGAAGAAAATGGGGATGAATAGATCGAATAGACATCAGATGAGAAGAGCCCGTTGAGTGAGATCGCGAGCCAGATAAGCCCTTGAATAGAACCCAAATGAGAAACGAAATTTTTGCCTGTCGATATGAGGGTGACATGGAGAAGATCGTTTGAAAATGGAATGGAAGCTTCTTGGGAACTGTGGAGTCAGCAGAGAAGACAGTGAAACGGTGATGAAACCTTATGTTCCACACAGAACCCAAGGGAACAATAATAGTAATATGTAATTAACACGTGAAGGAATAGAAGGTAATGACTGATTGATTGATTACCCGCCAAGTAGTATGGATGTGAACAGATCCAGAGATATACACAACCCAACACCCCATAGAAAGACACTACACAATAATATTATGACAAAAATGACTAAGTCATAAGTGGCTCAAAGGTAATGACATAGGGATTTCACAGAAAACCATTTAAAAAGGTAGTGGGTATTTAGAAGAGTCACATTTTTTTCAAAAGGTGTACACAACTCACCGTTAGTTGTTGGATGAGTAACCTGGAGAAAAAAACAAAAAGAATAGAAACAATGAAAAGTGGGGGATAAATCACCGAAAAATTGACACAAGAAACACCTTATTTTTAGTTTCTACACGGTAAAAAATGTGAATTCCAGTAAGGTGGATAATTTATGGTGATACTCACACTCTGTGATCCCTATTTTAATGACATGATAAACGAGAAATTCAAACGAAAGATACAAAGTATAGACTGGATATATGCTAAACGATGAAATATATATATTAGACCTTGTATGTTGTTTCTGTTGCTCCCTACTGTTACCCAATTGTTTATCCACTTTCCAGTTGACTAATTATCATCGATCTCATGAAAGCTGCTACCTTGACGTGGTGGTCGGACTTGAACACCGCAATGACCCAACAAGCTATACTGGCTGAGACTTATGTCGCTTGAGGTCCTGCCATGCCTCAAAGGTTGTTTGGATAGCGGTTAGACAAAAAGCAGTTACCCAATCCAACTCTATGACCCAAACAAAATCACAAAATATCATGCTGGATCGGTCGGGCCCGGATTAACAACGACCGCGCTTCCTGCTGCCGTGTCACAGGGTAGAAGTGATAAATATGCTACTGAGACATACCAAGTAAAAAAGAACAAACAAAAAAACAGGCCGTATATGACCGGCCTCAAGCAGTTCTCCCCTAGGCTCTGCGGTCACGCAACCAACTTCCACGTTGTGGGCAGCCGAGAAGTAACAGTTACCCTCACAATCCGAAATGCACGCGAAACCTCTCTAGTCCTCACAATCCGACAGTATGCATTTACTGATATGAGTATAAAACTTGGGCAATGTAGTAAAGTATAAGTTCATTATGGATAAAATTTCATTTTGATAAATTACACAATGTTTTTCAGTAATATTGACTGATGACGTCGTCAGTTAATATTACTGTATAACATCACTGTGTGATTTATGAAAATAAAATCTTGTCTATAATGGTTTATGCATCTACAAATTTAATATACGTGTAGGATTTGGCCACGGTGGTAAAATGTAGTTTCATATTAGAAAAGTTTATTTTAACAATCACACAGTATTAACAACTGGATGACAAGGTTACCAGCATAAATTATTACCACTCATAATCACCAATCAATTTTAGTCACACGTTTTCACAATTTGTGTTAAAATATACGTCTTTTCTCTCTTTCTGTCTCTCCAACTTCCCTTTGTTGTTTGTTACCACTTTCTATATCTCCGGTATAGGCGTTGTGTTGCATCATTTCGATCGCACGTGTGTAGTGTTAAATCGATAAACAAAGCTTCAGTCAGTGATTAACCTCTCTCTCTTTGTCTTCACCTAACTAAACTACTTTTTAATACTCTCACCGCGTCACACTCCACTGCATGTGATTACAAGCAAGTGAATGCAATGCAGTACAATGACTGAGCTCTGTTTTTTTCTAGGTTATTTAACCTACTTAGCAGGGCCAAACATTCTAGGTCTAGCTGGCTAAACTTTTATGCTCCAATTATCTAGTTGACCCCGATCTACTAGTTTGACTGACCTATGTAATTGATCTCACTTACAGTTATCACATGGTATTGGGTATATCATATTATATTTTTTAAATTGCATCTATTAGGTCCTTAAGCCAAGAAAGTCTATCTCTGACAGAGTTAGTTGTTTGGTTTAAATGCCACCCTAAGTCCAGCGACAGTGAGAATTCTACGTAACACCGCTGACGTTCCTTCTTTATACGGCAGTGCTACAGAGGCTTTGAATTCTATATTTATTATTTTCGTTAATTTCGTCACTTTTATTGCTAATATTAGATTTTCTATGGTTCTTCAACATAGAATACGTGCAATCGGAATGACGCAACCCAACGCGTATACCGGAGATACGGAAAGCGGCAACAAACAACAAAGGGAAGTTGGAGACACAGAAAGCGAGAAAATATACATATATAAGACAAATTGTGAAAATGTGTGACTAAAATTGATTGGTGATTATGAGTGGCAATAATTCATACTCGAAACCTTGTCATCCAGTTGTTAATACTGCATCACCGCAGTGTGATATCTGAAATAAACTTATCTAGTATGGAATTGAGAAATTTAGTTACTCCCGTGAAAAAAAGCTATATATACATAGGGTGAACAGCTAAGCAAGCTTAACAAACGCATTGCTCAGCAATTTTCTCTTTGGTTCTGAAGAAAAAGTCAACCTAGGTCTATAAAAAGCTCCAATTTTGTCTTATTTGATGGATGGATACAGTCGTCGCCAGGAGAACACAAGAAAACGATGAAGAAGCACTTCTGCAGTTATTTATCGTATTACATTCAACCTTTCGAATGACAATCGGATGCGTCTTCAATAATACGCAGGCGAAGCTATAGAAATTCGCAATCGATAGAAATTTATTCAAGCTTTTTATTCCCCTTGATCATATTTATTTTAAACTCTGATTACCTACCTAATCACTTTATGTGTAGTATTACACATGTAATTTCTAATTTTTAAAAGACATTGACTTCATTTTACAATTGATGCTGTTTACAATATCAGGCTGTCTTGATCACTGTTATCATTGATTGTGTCAACCACCTGTAGTAATGTTATCATTCATATTAGTTTAGGTTTTATAGATATTGCAATATTATATAATATATTATTCTCTTGGATTCCAAGTGGAACATACAGTTTCAAAAATACAAAACATCTCCACTTTCTTCTATTCACTGCTGTCCTCTTCAGCTGACTAGCTCCACGATTGACCACAATCTATCATCTCCTACTCCAACCCACACGATCTCATCCATGTCACTCACACACTGACGACCCACTCATCGCTTCCTATTCGGATTTCACTCGAGTGATGGCATGTAGTGCAGGCGATGTCATTCAGCAGCCTCTTCAACGTATGCTCAATCCATCTCCATTTTCTCCTGCATATTTGTTGAGCGATCTGCTCTTGGTTAGTTTGTTGCCAGGCAGAGTTTATTGTTACTAATTTTTTTCCGGTTGGCCATTTGATCTTCAGTATGGAGCCAGCCATGAGGGCAGCTGCTGAAAAATGGGTGCATCTTGTTGGAAATCCTTTTCACGGGCCAAGTTTCTGACCTGTAAAGAAGAATTGACTTCATTTACATTAGTGTTGAACAGGATCCGAATCTAGTTCTTTATGCTGAGTGACAGCAGAAGATTTCCAAACTGGTTTCAGGTTGATGAATGTATCTCTTCATCTCATCTTCATCCATTCCGACTGCCAGTGGTTGAAATGATGCTTCCTAGACAGATAAGAGGTAAGGAAGCAACCTCTTTTAAATCTCTCCTTTTGATGATGATTGGTTTTGGTTGTTGTTGTTGCTGTTCGTTGGTTATCTTCATCACCTTCATCTTCTCTGTGTTCATCACTTGAAGTCTTGTCTTCTCTGCCAGTCACTTCGGCTAGTTTGTTGGTTTTCACCAACTGCAAGTTTTCGAGTTTGTGTGACATTAAACATAGATCATCCTCCGCAATCTCCAGATCTTCTAGAGTCTTCTCATCGGTCGTCCAGAGTATTCCCGTCTCCTCACTCCCTCTGCATAGTCTCACGCATAATCCAGCCCACCACAATTAAGAAAATCATCGGTGACATAAAGTAGTGGCCTTGTCTTACTCCTGTATTCATTTCAAAGGCTTGGTTGAGTTTTACGTTGTGGATCACCTGACATGCGGCATTTTCATGTAGCTGCAGTTTCCAAATTACTTCTCGGTTAACGCTGTCTGTCGAAGGCCTTTTGACAAGATTTTCAGCCTGGGTGGATGCCTGATTTTAATGTGGCTACGCGTACTGACCTAAGTGATTCAATTAAGAAGTTTTTAGTTGTACTTTTCTAGATAGCATCTTCAGTGCAAGCTCAATAAACAGAAATTAAACTTAGTTGAGATTAAAACGATCAATATTTATGAAAATTTACAACCAATGACAACGATTTGCCTTGTCAGAAGACACAAAGCTATATCATTCATAGAGAATTGTCGTAAGTTCACATCATGCTGAAGTTGGCACCGAAGATATCGAGAAGAGGTCAGTGGGAACGCTTCAATATTAAATCGATCATAGGTGTCTGCGTTCTATATCCCGTGTGAAGCGGTATGATAAGGTGAGCAATATTGAGGTTAGGCGTAGAGTGCTAGGTAAGGAGTGGAAATCAGTCTACGAGACTGTGGAATTACATCGACTGAGATGGTTAGGACATGTGTTACGTATGCCTAGTCATCGCCTTCCTCGACAGCAGGCGTTGTTAGCTGACATACGGTCAGGCTGGAAAAGAGCTAGCGGCGGTCAAACCAAAACATGGCACCAGTCAATGTAATCTACAACAATTAGTCTAAGCCACGTAGGAAGGTGTAGACTTCCTGGTTGGGGCCCTCGGAACGGTAAAAACCAATGGTTGGAAACAATTGGTGACATGGCTCAAAATCGTTCTCGGTGATGGCTGGTGCAGATGCATCCACTGCTTGTGCCTTATGATTTCCAATGAAACTGTTTTGTTCTTCGTTATTGCTATTCCTTTGTCTCACACCTCTGTTTACTGTCTCTAATATGCATTTCTCCTACTTTCTTCTCTTGCTTTGTGTTCTACATGGAGTGTGGCGACTTGAAGTGGTGCACATATGTGCAAAGTTCTATGTCGAAAACCGACCGAACGACCGAGTGAACGCAAACACATCATAGAGGTCTTATTGGCCGTGATAATTACGTAATCATCTACCAGTACGGAGCGGAGTACAGTAGGTACGCTCTGTTGGTAGTATATTTTTAAAAACTTGACACAATCAATAATTAATTTCCGACAATCTATAATGTAATAGAATATAGGATAAATAATAAACTCCAATATTTATTAATAAAAGAAATTAGCACAAATAAGATAAAACAGAATCAAGGTATATTATTAATAAGGCAAATATGGCTTACTTCAGACACAGCATCATCAATTATATTCTCTTCTTGTTCTTCAACTGTACACTTTAATTCACCATATTTTTGTAAGTGGATACGACAACCAGGACAAAGAAATCGTAACTGTCCTAACTGATTTATCAGCAAGAGCGGGGGAGCGGCGGGCAGTTGTAATGTAATATACAGAAGAAAAAAAGACAAAAGAAATAAGAAAGGAAATTCTTGAATCTTCTGTATAACACATTCAAGTGTTTAGTTTACAAGGATTCGATTGATTTTAAGTCACAATTACAGACAGAATATATATATAGAGAATCAATGGATAGTTGTTTCGTCCTTAGTTGAGATTCTTCATCAGCATGAACGCATTGGATTTTATTCAGCTGACCGAATGGTCAACAAACAAGTCTCATAACTTGAATGTTCAATCCCCCATGGGTTTACGGGTGCTTGCTAACAAAACTTCCCAAACTAGGAGTTAACAGCTATCCAGTACTGTCTACTTGTCTAACTGATGTCAATTTGTAATCTAAAAGAGAAGTAACTAACCTCAATTTGTGGATTATTTTTAGGATTCGATAAGAAACAAAATAATAAGCGTATTTAGTGCTTAGATTATAAAGATTTTATCATAAAAACCAGCATCAGTTAGCGAGATCAATAAAAAAGCAAGGGACACTGTCGATGGGCCACCGGATGGATATCCTGAGAAGTTGTGACCAGTGCAATCCACCATCTCTCGGCACAGAGAATGATTATCGAGAGCATTGGTAAAGGTTAATACTGTATCACGAATTGACACAGTTATAATTCACAGAAGTTACTGAATTCCAGTTCAAGTAGCCGAATGGTCAACGAGCTTGGGATCTCATCTCCTGAAGGTGCCAAGTTTGGCCCCCGGTGCGGTTGTGGTGTGCACTGCTGAAGAGTCCCGAAGTGGAACGAAGCATACTCAGTCATTATTACTATTAACTTATTGAATGCTTCAACAATGTCTGAAGATTAAAATGATGTTATTTCGCTTGATTGGTGGTGCCTAGCGACGGGATTTAGAACGCATATCTTGTCCCAATTAATAATCAAAAGAGCATGCAGGCGCATCCACAATATGACGAGCCTCGAGGAGGACGAAACGCGCATCCTCAAATCCAGTGTCAGTCACTGTCGATGGAAATAACAAAATAAAAACACCTCTTGGATAATTGTGGCGAGTGCTACTCATAAGATTCATCAGTAGCATATAAAGAGACTCTCTATCGGCATAAAGACATCAAATAGCAGGGAGATAGGTAGATTTGATGTCATACAAAGGAAAAATAATACAGCGTCGCAGAGATACATGTGAGACGTAAGTGAAAAGAAAACACAAAGAAACACACAATATGAAGAAAGGCTCAGAAGTAGCTGGCACAACACAGAAGATCTCAGCAAATGGTATACACACACACAATTTCGCTACATAGCAGCAATACCAAATTGTAAATAAACATTCCTTCACCCAAATATCTCTCATCTTCTACGGTTGGTGACACAAAATGAAATTCCGTTTTCATTTTAGTAAAACGATATGTTAAAAGATGATGAAATGATTGAAAGACTAGATGAGTGTAAATGAGGGATTGAATATGTGTGGTTAGTATTGCGCGCGCAGCTTAAGTGGTACTCGAAATTGTTCAGTCGATGTATATATTGATAAGAATGAAGATAATTAACATGATTTCTAAAGAGTGAGGGTGGGGGATGAGGTGAGATGGGGTAGGGTAGGGTGGAGTGTAGAGTAGAGTTAAAGTGGATAGATGATTATAAAAGACTATCCTCTTAAAAATAATAAGTGGATTAGTATTAGGTGAGAGGATTAAAGTGCAGTAGTAAATCGTGTTAATAATTAAAATTACAATGATGATGATGATAATAATGCAGAGAAGGCGAAGAACGAAGTGAAGTGGAGCGAATTCAAGCGAAAAAATGAAATTTTCAGAAAAAAAACAAAACAACACAACTATAACAAAGGTAAAGAGAGAAAAAGTTTTTGTGAATACATAGTTATTTGGATTTTTGTGTCATATAATATTGCTAAGGAGTAGCATTCGGTTATATGTGTATAAGTGGAGAGAAGGCAAAATTTTTTAATTGATTCAATTTAACTCTGTAGATAACTAACTAGAAAAGGATAAACCACATGGGGTTGAGTGATCCTAACTCACAAAAATCACTTCGACATCCATTGAGGTTGCCTTTTCATTCAGCCATCCACAATCGAGTAGTGTTCAATTACTCGTTTCCGGAGAGCAACATTTATGACATAAACTCCACTGGCCCATGCGCAACAGTTGATACACATCAACATGAGCATAGGTAGTAGCTTATATTTCACTCCGACACGACATTACTAGCTGTAAATCAGTAACCTAGTGGCATTTGAAACACTAGGATAGACAACTTCTGAATGAGTACTTTAGAAGTTGTAGGAATGATCACAAGCTGAAATCAGTCAGAGGACCATTGGAAACCATAAACCATGAAATGCTGAACAGCTATTTCGTCCTAGTTAGGGACTCTTCAACAGTAGGCACCCACTGCTGGGGTTTGAAGCCAGGACCATAGGGTCGCAAGGCAAGCTCGTAGACTATTCACCAACTGGAACCCGACCCAATAAGTCCATAAATTCCAACTTCTGCCAATTTGTGATATATATATATGGCGCGACCGGCAGCCAGTGTCACAGGCGAGAAAACTGTCCTCTTGCGTTACTTGGTGGACCCCACTGGTTACGACTTCTCAGCAGAACCCCACGTAACCTCCTGGATACGGCCAACCGCTAGAGAGAATTAGATTAGACACGGAACAAAGAGTACTCTTTTCGATAACTTCATCATCAGGTTCTACAATTATATATACATTATAATGAATGAATGAATTAGTGTTATGAGCAACATTAATGTTGTTTAAATAACATCAAATCAATAATATTGTTAGATTACAGTTCAATAGCATCAACATAAAATAAGCTGAATGTCAGAAGAATTAGGAAAGACAAAAGTACAAATTCATGAGTTTATCGTTCCTACTGAGGGCCAGGACAGTAGTAGGGGCTGGGCTTGTTTCTTTTGAACACAGAGCACTGGTTGTTTGAAGCGAATTGCGATAGCCTCTGCTGTTTGGAGCATGCGGTGCTTCGACGATTTCTGATAATTTGTTAGGCACCCGGTATATTATAGAGAAGGATTCTTCTACGCTGGCTTTGTGACCGGTTTGCACCAGATGGTCTAATATCGAGCTGTTAATAGTTTTAACTACACCTTTACTTAGCCATACTGAGAGATGTACCCCAGCGAGCACAAAAAATCAAGTTCCTAGAGCAACGGCCAATATAACTCGCTCCACAAGCGCAGTTGAATTGATAAATACAATTTGAAGTGGCTAGTCTAGGCACTTCATCTTTCAGTTGAGGTAGCACCATCGATCGTGTAGAGAATAAGACTTGCAGTTCGCCAGCATTAAAAGTTCTTTGAACTGATTTTCTTAATTTCTTCGTAATTAACTCGCTTGGTATATCGCCCATGAATTGTATTCGTATATAAAGTGGCTTCTTGTTTAGAGATAGTGGGTAGTCCTTTTCGGCTTTCTTTGTCATATGTTTCTTGATAAATTTGTCTGGATGGCGATTTTCGATTAACTATCAATTGTTCGTGGTTGGACAGCCTACAAGGTGTGTACTGATGAAGTGCCTCAAACTAAGACGAAACAGCTAGCTGTCCAGTAAGTACTCTAGTGTTGATTTTCACAAATGGTTCTCTAACTGATATCAGTCCGTAATAAAAACTTGAAACAAACTAACACTTTAGAAATGTTGTTAATTCTAATATCAAACTCATAAAAAGTAGTTTGTATTTTCTTCGGCACGTAATTTATGCGAATTATGTAATTAATATACACGTATTTTTGTGCAACACATTTCGAATAATTCGATGTCATATGTAATTATCATAGAAATTATATATGAGAAAATAAAAATAAAATAAAACTTTAAGACGTGAGAAAGAGAGAGAGCGAGCGAGAGAATATAGACATAGTAGATATAAGTAGGTCAAGTTAAAAGACTAACACATTCAAGGTCAAAATAACAATAACAAGATCAATAAAACTAACAAAGAGACTGGGGAATAATAATAATAATAATAATAATAATAATAATAATAATAGTACATCGAGGTTGCAATCAAAACAAAATTTACCTAAGGAAGGTTGAAATAAAGTGATGACGAATACTTTTCGAATACAAAACTTGTAAAATTCTACAAACCTTAGGATACACACCATAGCAACAAATGTTTGCTTTATATATATATATATGAATTTGAAAGACATATTTTGAACCATGTGTTTCGTGAATGAAAAAAATTACTCACTAATTTTACACTATTAATCTTCGTCTAGGGCTACTCTTTAGAATGTGTTTTGAATGCCTTACTTGCAGAGAAGATCGATGAACCCTTCCTATGTATTATATATATATATATATATATATATGATCACGTATACATTTAAATTGATAAACACAGTGGGATGTATAGTGATTCAGCGAAGACACTCTTTTCAACAAATTTATTATCAAGCTGTATACAATGGTATATATATTTGTACATATATATACATGAGCTTGGAATTCAAATTTTATATTATTTATTTAAACGCAGAAAACACTTGGTACAATATAGCACCAAGAAAGATGCGCCACACAATAATAATAAAACAACATAGATTAAAAGTAAAAATATAAGTAGAAAACGGATAAAGAACTTCATCTGGAAGGAAAACAGTCATGCTTCCAAACAAGTTCAAACAGTATTCGTTAACTATCATCAGGAAGGGAAGAAAGAAGGAAATTACAACTCGTTCGCCATTGATTACGATCCTTGGCCATATCCGATAACGTTTCGAGCCATCGATTCGAGCTATCTCGCGGAACCCAACCAGGGAGTCGGGACACACCAACCGATGCTAATCTAGCACAAATATCCTTCATTCCACGACGCCACGTCATGGACTGACCACCCGTCCGCCTTTTCCATCCCGTCCCAGGGCGGGCGAACAGAGACCTGTACGGAAGCCTCTGGGATGACATTCGCAGCACATGTCCAAGCCACCGGAGCTGGTGTTTCCAGATAACGACACTCAACGAAAGATGATCTCTATTGTCTCCAAACTTACACCGCCGAACCTCAGAATTACTCACGCGATGATGCCATCGAACGCGAGCAATCCTGTGGAGACAGCGATGATCGAACACGTAGAGTCGCCTCACATCCTCAGCTCGGAGAGGCCAGGTTTCATAGGCGTAGAGCAAGACAGCCCGCACCGAAGCATTGTATACCCGAAGTTTGACAGCCAGGCTGACGTCGCGACGGCGCAGGAGATGGCTCAAGTTGAAGTATGCCACCCTAGCCCTCATTATACGGTTGGAAATCTCACCTGTCACCCCTCCGCCAGCAGTCACACAACTACCCAGATACACAAACTTATCAACAACTTCAAGCGGTTCACCCGCAAGAGTGAGTGCAGGTACAGGCTCCTGCCAATCTTATAACAGTACTTTGCACTTTGGAATTCAAAGGTGACTTAGCTTCCGATAATATTCAAAGAAGGATTTCACAGTAGCTGAGAAGGATATTCGCTGCTGCATCGTTGAGAATAGCGTTTTCCAGTCGACCATTACTACTACTACTACTACTACTCAATAACCTAAAGGACAAGATCCCGCAGTTGACCAACTCTAGGTGCGTTTATCAATTCACCTGCTCGTGTGGAGTTAAGTATATCAGTCGTTCAACTCGAGTTTCGTCCAAAAGGGTGCAAGAATACTATCCTGCGGGTGGTTCCGAAGAGACAGAAGTGGAGCAATAAGAAGAGCGATCATTGAACAACTGGTCGGTAATGATCACCCTATCTCTACAGTCTCCAGCTTTGCAGTCATCTACAAGGTGAAAAGTAATTTGCCCAAACCCCTAAGTATCCGACTTATCCGTATAGCTGAAACAGCTTTGGCCATCGAAACAGAAAAGCCAGGTCTCTGTATACAGAAAAAGTTTGTTCAACCCCTCCAACTTTCCCTTTCTCAATCCCTCTACGTTAAAGTATGGCAATCCTTAATCATATTTTGGCTCTATCTATTTTTCGTTTCGTTTATTCGATTTACATACTCTTCCTTTATTACTTTAATTGTTACTATTACTAATCTCATTTCGAATTGTCCCCGGTATTATTTCACTCGTCCCACTCATCATTCCGAATCAATTTTGTTTTGCAGCATTAAATTGTATGTTATCAAATTTCACGCAATGTTACGTAGCGTTTTTATTTTATTCGATTTGTCTACTAATCCTATAATTGCACAGCCCTGTCAAGTTCTATCCATCCTATGAATTAATCTATATATGACATTAATTTGCTTTGCCACTTGACATTTAACTATGATTATAATCACAAACATTTTAGTTCTAATTGTATTTCATACTATTATTATTACTATTATTTTATGCATTCACACCTATGATTCAATTCCCTCACCGGGTATAACTTCTTAAAAACCATGTATATACGTTTGTCCAGGTTGATAATCAATTCGTTGTTGGAGACTGTCTCTTCGCTGATTTGATTTTCTTTATATCCCAGTGGGAATTTTCCATGAATTAAATGAAGAGGGATGTGACATTCTATGGGCTCACAAAGGGGCCTCATGTTCCCCACTATATGTATACATCTTAGCCTCACAAGGTCTTTTTGACTGCAGTCCTCCCTATTATCTCTCTAATTATTTAGCTAATATGATCCCTGATGAACAATAGCCCGGTGTATATATTTTTATATTTTTGATTACAGCTTGATGCCACATCGTATTTTCAGCATGGATATCGGTAGCCCAAATTTCGCAGGCCGACCATAGATATCGGGTGTGCGTCGGCAGGGGATCGAACCCCGGACCATGTGCATGGTCGGCTAGAGTCCTAGCCACTGTGCCACCGACGCCATTATAGCGACAAGTTGGTAAATAGACTTTTATATGTTTATCCGTTTTATATCGTCCGATGAACTTTTCTCTGGGTAATTTATTCTCAACCAGAATTTCTGTCAGGTATATTTATACGGATATGCAATATCGTTAACAATCAACTTATAACTGAATTTGAGTAGTGGGTTAAAAAAAGTTGGTTACAGGATTTCATCATGATTTGACATCGGTTAGAGAACCATTCGAAAACCTGCCAGGGAGTACTGGACAGCTGTTTCATCAGCCTAGTTTGGGACTCTTCATCAGTACTCACCCACACCACGGGGTTCGAACCCAGGACATTCTGCTTACAAGAAGAGCTAGCTTATAAACCATTAAGCCACTGCGACACGATCCAATGGCCCGTGAATTCTAACTTCTGCTAATTGACGACATAGCGCGACCACTAGCCAATGTATTCAACGAGTATTTGTTCTTACACCCGACCCAGTGCACCCTACTGGTCATGACTTTTCACTAGAACCCCAGGTAACTAACTACCTACCTCGGTCGGTCGGTCGGTCGGTTTTCGACATAGAACTTTGCACATATGTGCGGCAGTTCAAGTCGCCACAATCTATGTAGCACGCAAAGCAAGAGAAGGAAGTAGAAGAAATGCATAATATAGACAGTAAACAGAGGTGTGAGACAAAGGAATAGTAATAACGGAGAACAAAAGTTTAATTGGAAATCATAAGTCACAAGGAGTGGATGCATCTGCACCAGTCATTAAGAACGATTTTGAGCCATGTCACCAATTGTTTCCAACCATTGGTTTTTACCATCCCGAGGGCCCCAACCGGGAAGTCTACATCTTCCTACGTGGCTTAGATTAACTGTTGTGGATTTCATTGATTGGTGCCATGTTTTGGTTTGACCGCCGCTAGCTCTTTTCCAGCCTGACCTTATATCAGCTAACATTGCCCGTCGAGGAAGGCGATGACTAGGCATACGTAGCACATGTCCTAACCATCTCAGTCGAAGTAATTTCACAGTCTCGTCGATTGATTTCCCCTCCTTACCTAGCACTCGACCAGTGCCTAACCTCAATATTGCTCACCTTATTATACCACTTCACGCGGGAGATAGAACGCAGACACCTATGATCGAAGACAGCTAATCTTTTCATGTCTTCTGCTCTCAATGGCCAGGTCTCACAGCCATAAAGGAGGACGGAGCGGACTGTTGAGCAGTACACACGGCCTTTGGTCGATAGTCGGATATCGCGTCTACGCCAGAGACGGCGAAAACTGGCGAATGCGAACCTAGCCCTCTGTATTCGTGCTGAAATTTCGTCGGAGATCAACCCGTTGGGGCTGATGGTACTTCCCAAGTAAGTGAAGCGGTCAACGTGTTCTACCACTTCACTTCCTATTTCTAATCTAGGGGTCGATGAAGTCCAATCCTGCAGCATCATCTTACATTTTATAGGGGCGAATCGCATGCCAAACATGCGGAGATTGTTGCTCAGGGTGTTCAGTAGACTCTGCATTTTGTCAGGGTCCTGAATAGGGCAAGTCGCCAGTGAGCATCTCTCCTAAAAACGTAAGGGATGATATGAGACTTTGGAAATTAGCACATGTTGATGAAGAGGTTACGATGTTAAAGAAATTGTTTAATGGACGTATGAATACATTGATGGAGGTTAGCAAACTAGTATTGTGGCGTGACCTACTGACGAGATTTATCGGTGGTATATGAACAGACGCTCATCAGTGTACAAACATATCAGATAGCGGAAAGGGAGAGATTGGACGTCAAAGAAAGGAAATGGACTAGTGTTGCGGCGAAGCATGGGAGAGATGAAAAGAAGACAAAGAAACACAATACGCGAAGAGCAGAAGTAGCACTACATGGATGATATATGCTAGTGACGGTTTTCAGATAAGATGTACATAATTTCCCTGCATGTGTATATCAAATGCGTAATAAACATTCCGTCACCAAGTCTATTGTCTGCACCTGTTACAGTGGGACTCTGAAGACCAACATTTATCGCATTATGTTATTATTATTATTAATCCGTTAGGTGCCAGGTGAAACAACACGAGGCTTGAGCGGCACATCTCCATTTCCTCATGTTCCTTGTGGGTATCTTTAACTGGCTCCAGGATTGTACATAGGCTATCATTTCCTCTTTGTTCGATCTCCTCCATGTCATCCTCGTTTCCGTCGCCAACTTTACGCTAGCCGGTTCAACAACTGGTGTACAAAGGAAACGTTGGGTGTGAAGCTAGCGTATTCCTACCCTAGAAAATCGATATAATTGCTACAGAAATATTTCTTAGGAAATATATAAATTAAATTAACATAAGTTACAACGGGAAGACTAACGATATTAATGTCACTTATATATACATATATATATATATGCCTATATAAGTAGTACATAAACCTACCAAAGGTGGTGGGGGGCTATCTTCTGACGACAACAACTCTGCACTACAATTCCGACACAAACGTTTACGAAGTCGACTAGTTGATGCAGAATCAGTATTCCCATCCACTGTTGTCGTTGAAATCGTTGTACCGTCTTCATTTTTCTCACCAGAATTCACTGGAACGTCAACAGCGTCATCAGTACCAGCATTCGCTGTTAGATATATACAAATGAAAATATGGAGAATAAAAGGGACCAATTTCAAAACAAAAACAGTTGATTCTTAAAATTAACAATACGTTCCATATTAGTTTGTTTATTAGATGTATCACACAGTCAGTGAAACAGTATTATTTACTGGATGACACAGTTTCGAACAAAATTTATTGTTCATAATCATTCCATCAATTATAATCACACGACTTTGAAACTTGAGTTTTATAGTTACCTTTGTCACCTCTTATTTGTCGTAGGAGTTTGTGGGTTTGAATGCTTAGAAACAAGCTTTGTCGGTTAAGGGATCAATCCTGTGGAGCCTCTAAACCAAAACAATTCAGTTAATCTAATACCCCACCTGCAATGATTGTCAGGTCAAACTAGTAGAACAAGGGCAGTCGGATTAACGGAATATAAAAACCCTGCAGCTAAATCTAGATTAGTTGACCCGAACTAGATAAGAAATCTGGAGAACAGTTCAGCTATAGCACTACATGCGATCATACACAACCATACAATATAATGGGATAGGATGACAGTTTTAAAATATAATATAACAGGGTGGAGGGAGAGATTGATAACAGAAGCTTGTAACCGGAAGGTCCTGGGTTCAAAACCCAGTGGGTACGTACTGCAGATGACTCCCAAACTAGGATGAAACAGCTGCCCAGTACTCCAGTGCTGGTTTTCAATGGTTCTCTAACTGATATCAATCCGTGACCAGCTCGTAAAAACAAAACTAACCCTTACAAACCAACTATAGAAAAAAAACCATTAATATTGTTAACAACTCTAATTCTTTCATTATTATGGATGGATATATAACTGTAGAACCTGATGAGGAAGAGTAGGTCATCGAAAAGGATATTCCCTGTTCAGTAACCACCACCAGTCCTATGGATAATTCAGTGTTTTATTATTGATGCAAGAAAGTATTTTGATGGTTGCAGAGAACAAGATTAAATTTAAAAAATCATATTCAAGCACAAGAATTACGTAACACTGTCATTGTGTCATTGTCTTTCTGACTAATTCATTAAAGTATGTGAAAACTTTGTGTAATAACAATAACAGTGGTGATAAATTAATCATTTTTTCTTGCAAACCGTAATAATTATACAGAATGGAATTTTGTACATATTGCAACAATTTAGTTCCTTATTTATTTATATATATATATAGTAAATAAGAACGACAAGAACCGAAATTTAGCGGAATGTAATGATAAATAAATAAATAAATAAATAATATTTTTAGTAATAATAATAATAATAATTCTGGTTATAATTTGCTGTTTATTTACTGACCGCAAATGTTTCTAAGCTTTTCTCCGACATTTGTCTCTCCTTACACACACACAAAACCCTTGCTAAATATGGTGATATGCTTGAAATTTTATATTTAACCCAATACAAGCATAAATTCTGATTGAATTTCTTCTGGTTTTACCCGCAGAGAGATACAAGAAGAAATTTATGGATAGCAAAGAGGATTCCATATTAGTTTGTTTATTAGGTGTATCACACAGTGAAACAGTATTATTATTTACTGGATGACGTTTAGAACAAAATTTATCGCTGTTCATGATCATATCAATCGTGATCACACGACTTTGACACTTGAGTTTTATAGCTTTCTTTGTTTTCTCCAATTTGTCGTAGGGGTAGTAGAATTTTTCAGATATCTGACTGAACAGGTGTTGAATCATTCCTATTACATATATTTGCAGTTGATTCGATAAACAAAGCTTCTGTTATCAATCTCTCCCTCCACCCTGTTACATTAGATTTTAAAACTGTCATCCTATCCTATCCCATCCTATTGTATGGTTGCGTGTGATTGCATGTAGTGAGTGCTATAGCTGAACTATTCTCCAGATTTCTTATCTTATTTGGGTCAACTAATCTAGATTTAGCTGCTAGGTCTTTGTGCTCGGCTAGTCTGACTGCCGCTGTCTTACTGCTTCACCTACGTATTTTACCTGACAACCATTTTAGCAGGGTATTAGATAAACTGAATTGTTTGGTTTTAAAGGCTCCACAGGATTGATCCTTTAACCGACAAAGCTTGTTTGTGGTAGAGTTTGTGGGTTTGAATGCCAGCCTTGTTAAGAATCCTGCGTAAGGTGGTTTCCGAGGTTCCCTCCTTGTATGGAGTTACTACTGATGATTTAGATTCCTTTTTGTTGGTGCTATCTTGAGTATGTTTGACATGCATGTCGTCATTAATATTACTATTATTATTATCATTATTATCACTATCACTACTATCATTATTTATTTTACTTTTACATTTCCCAACATACTTTCTGACTAATTTATCACAGTAACTATTAAGTTTCAAAGCTTCTTTTATACGCTATACATATCCTGTCTTAGGTTGTCCTTGGTACTACTTAGTTTTTGTGCTCTATTATTTAAACATTTCACCAATCCTATTTTCACTGACATAAGATGGGATGATCGGAAGTCCAAATATCGGTTTGAATGTGTGGGTTTCCTGTAAACACACACTAGTGTTTAACTTCCCTTCTTTTTTCTTTTTACGCTGCAATCTAACACTGGAAGCTCCTCATCCTGTTCGAAACGTCATCCAGTAAATAATACACCTAATAAACAAACTAATATGGAATTACTACTACATTGCCCAAGTTTTACACATATAGCAAAGAGGATGTTCAGTATCAGATAAGATGTCTCTAGCCAAGTGTTGGCAAGAATTAAAATAGCCTGCCCATATACAAGAACAAGGTCAGTTGGCTGAGTCAAAGGTGCTCACCACTAACCCTGCCTACTTACAGCCCTTAGTGTTCCACATAATATATGACAGCGTCGTTTTTGAGAAAAGTCCAGGGAAGAATAAGGGAAAATAACAAAGACGAAGAATGAAAGGGAAAACATGAATCAATAAATTGTAAGAGAAGACGTAGAGAGTTATGTCAGCAGAAAGTCTCAACTTTTTTATGTAATAAGTCAGACGAAAAATCTTCCTAGAAATTAACAGGGGTTATGAGATGACCAACAGAGGTTTGAATAAAAACTGATGCTGAGATGAAAGATGTTCGATTTGCTCCCAACGATCACGGTGCAATCAATATTACAGGAATCATGGGACTGAATCAGCCAGTTTCACTCAAGTCTTTTTCGCATCTGAAACTAAAATCAACCATATAACATTTAGATGGTTTTAGTTTAAGACTATCTCATTGAGACCTTTGATTAACCTCATATAAGAACAATCCAATGCAGAAACTACTGAGACAGAAATGGTTAGGTCGTCAGTATATTTAATGAAATTAGCTTTAGAATAATACAGAAGGTTATGTAAAAAGAAGCGGAGAAAGTCAAGGACCTTGGGGCACACCAGCTTCCATGAGCAAAGAAGTAGAGCGCTTTCCATCTAAAACAGTGCGTTGTTTCATACCAGTAGAAAAAGGAAGGCAACCACCTTGTGTTGTATAATGCAGTTGAATAAGAGCTAACAAAATTAAGTAACATCACAGAAAATATACCCGACGCAATTTTCTCTCCTCACTTTTTGTTGGAAAATCACTGAGTTTAACACAAACTGCCAACTACACAGGACACCCAAAATCCATGATCAATAAAATGAATACAATATTTTCATCTGGTTATGTTTTCTGAGGTGGGCGGTTGATTTGATTAGGAAGCTTTCTCTGTTCCGACATCATTTCAGTGCAGGCTCTAACAGACAAAGTGAACATATATTTGAATTCTCCATGGATGATGATACAATTTTGTATATCTTCTGACAACCATTTTTGTGATTGGTTGTCAATTTACGTGTCTATTGATCATTTTTATCGACTTGGAACTTGAAATTTCCTGCCATGTGATGATTTATTTTCTTATTAATTGGTAAATTTGATCTACAGTACTAATGTGATTAGTAATCACTGATTCATTTGAGTAACAAGCTTCTAAAATTGTTGGTGTTTCCCTAATCAAATTGGTGTCCATGATTGTCTACATACATTGATATGAAACAGGAATACACATTGTGTTTTTGTACAGCTAATTTATGTTCTTAGATTCTCATTTGAAGGGGACGCCAACTTTGACCAATACAGTGTTTATTGCAATCTATGCATGCAGTTTATTTTGTAGATGGTGTGTTGATCTTATCCTCCCTTTGCTGTTTGAATGTATCTTTTAGTCTGCACAATATTGAATGATTGTGTTAGTTGGCAATTGTGCTTCTGTGTCTATTTCATCAAATGGTCTTAACATTCTAGCAGTTGTTAAATCATTTCTGCGGCTACCTGAGCAGCCTATCCAGTTTCGTACATTGTACGAATATTCCACGTCCCCATCCTTATTTTTGCTTTCATCGGAAGAAGGCACATCGGCTGACTGGCTTCCCGGAGGCTTTCACCAGCCTGCGTCATTTCACTTCCCCGATTCCAGCGAAAAATAAGGTCACTATTTGTAATTTTAGAATTTTGAATATATTTGTGCGTTGAAGTTTTAGTAGCAATTTGGTTAAGTTTTGGGGGTGGAGTTGCTAGCACCACGCCCCAACACTCCCTCTTTATCCGGGCTTGGGACCGACTAGAAAACTAGTGAGCGAGTAATCTAGGCGAGGTCACAAAGAATATTTCCAACAGCCTATGGCACACCTTTATCAACAACTGCCTTCGCTGGCTCTATACTGAAGATCGGATGGCCGGGACGAATCACCAGCAAGAAACTATGGGAACAAACAAAACAAGAACCAATCGCTCAACAAATATGCAGGAAAAAGAAGTGGATATGGATTGGACACTCGCTAAGGAGGCCGTTGGGTGACACCGCGCGTCTGGCCATAACTCGAGTGGAACCCGAAAGGGAAGCGACGAGTGGGACGTCCAAGGGTGACATGGAGGAGATCATGTGAAGAGGAGCTGAAACAGTATCGACTAACATGGATGCAGGTGAAAAGCACGGCAGGAGACAGAAGCTAGTAGAGACGTGCAATTGAAGCCTTATGTTCCACTAGGAACCCAAGGGAACAACAACAATGAGCTGTTAAATCATCAGAGATATTCTCTACACAAGGGAAGGACGAATTTTCTTGTGTTTTTTTGAGGATAGTTTCCTGTTGGTATTTCAGTTGAAATTGTATGAGTATTCATTCTTTTTCAAGAGAGTTTTATGTAGATATTTCTCGTATATTCTCTTCAGCCCTGGAGAAGTACTACAGTGTGTTTGTACTCTTTTAGTCAATGTTTGTACACAGTTTCTTTTGTGACCTTATACAACACAAATGTCCTACTGTAACGATAGAAGATAAGGGCCAGGCAACAGATCCTTTTATTGAGAAAATCAAGAGATATTGATAGCTGATTAAAAATGCCCATTAAGACCCTCAGCCATAGAGTTACAGCTATATGCTCTGAAGAAGTAATTAAAGATGAATTAAGCATGGTATATGATACTTTGATCAAAAATAGCTCCCAAAAATTTATCAAGAAACACATGACAAAGAAAGCGGAAAAGGGCTACTCACTGTCTGTAAACAAGAAGCCACTTTATATACGACTACAATTCATGGGCGATATAACAAGCGAGATAATTACGAAGAAATTAAAAAAATCAGTTCAAAGAACTTTTAATGCTGGCGAACTGCAAGTCTTATTCTCTACACGATCGATGGTGCTACCTCAACTGAAGGATGAAGTGCCTAGACTAGCCACTTCAAATTGTATTTATCAATTCAACTGCGCTTGTGGAGCGAGTTATATTGGCCGTTGTTCTAGGAACTTGATTTTTCGTGCTCGCTGGGGTACATCTCTCAGTATGGCTAAGTAAAGGTGTAGTTAAAACTATTAACAGCTCGATATTAGACCATCTGGTGCAAACCGGTCACAAAGCCAGCGTAGAAGAATCCTTCTCTATAATATACCGGGTGCCTAACAAATTATCAGAAATCGTCGAAGCACCGCATGCTCCAAACAGCAGAGGCTATCGCAATTCGTCTCAAACAACCAGTGCTCTGTGTTCAAAAGAAACAAGTCCAGCCCCTACTACTGCCCTGGCCCTCAGTAGAGACTGTAAACTCATGAATTTGTAATATTATCTTTCATAATTCTTCTGACATTCAGCCTATTTTATGTTGATGTTGTTCAGCTGTAATTTATCGATATTACTGATTCGAAGTTATTTAAACATTAATGTTGTTTATAACACTACAATGTATATATAACTGTAGAGCCTGATGATGAAGTTATCGAAAAGAGTACTCTTTGTTCCGTGTCCCTTCTTTTGAAGATATTGATAGATTTTTATGTACATTATTATTAGCGTTATTCTTAGCAGAGTGGCAACGTCTTCTGATTGGTTGTTTTCTTGCTCAAGGTTATTCTGTACTGCTTGTGACTATCGCTTACAAAGTTATCTATATATCTGCGAATCGTATTTGCACACACTAAGTCTGCTGTGATTGGTTGTTGAGTTCCTCAAGGTTAGACTTTGTTCTTGTTTCTTCTCATGACCCCGATTCTGGAAGTAAACATTGACGTAAATTGCTGTCTACCAATTTCGGCTTGCAGACAGCCCTCACCACACTACTACTACTACTACTACTACTCAATCTGTTGTGCATTCTACTTAATTCGAAAATTACTCAGCTTAACTACATTGCCATCTCAAACAGGACACTTGAAAAAAAGAATCCGCGATCAATTGAATAAATATATAAAATAAAATAGACAGATGGAGTTGTGACGGGGAGGTGGGGGCGAGGGAAGCGGGGTTGGTCATAAAAAAACACATTGACAGGTAAAATCAACCAACACACTTACTTGTCTCAAAATTCTCTTCAACTTCTGATTCCGGTTGACTAGGTCCCACAGATTCTGATTTATCATCACCGGTTTGTTGTGTTAAACTTTGATAATTCACTTTTAAGGTGATGGGGTGGTAAATATAACAGGGCGATGATTGTTGTTGTTGTCAAATAAAATAGACAAACAAATGTATAAGCATGAATAAGCAAGTAAACAAAGCAAGAAAGGGAATAGAAATAGCGGATGCTTATTGTGAATATGAACAGTTAAATACTTAAAAGTTTCAAATACTCTAAAATTATTTTGCTATTTTTTTAAAGAATTTAAGAAATCTTAAATGGTGATCGGATTTCTATTTATGCGAAGAATTCATAGATCCTTCAGTTTAGTTCACTCTGTCCTCCTCCTCCTCACTTATGACTATGAGACAGGGTCATTGAAAGTGAAAAATATGAAAAGGCCAGTTGTCTTTAACCATCTGTTATAAATGGTATAATACTGGTGAATGGTGACTAGCAGTTGAATCCAGGATGTGCATTTCGTCCTATTGGTGTCTCGTCAGCAAGCTGGATATGCCTGCATTTCCCAGTGAGTGATGGATGGTGTTGTTCCCACCGAGACTCGAACCCAGTTCCTCCGTAGTTTCAAACGCCAAAGTGTTATCCTCTAGACCACTTGAGCCACCTCTTGTGCAACGGGTCATATTAATTATTTAATTCAATTTTAGATTTTCCGATCGACTGATAGGACTGAAGTGCTCGGTCTCAGGTTGACATGTCGACTTCTTGTGCAGATGCTTCGACGATGTGTGGGCATGTAATTGGAAGTTAATTGGCAGATGGTGACTTGCAATGGAACATCATCACTCATAGCGGAATGCAGGCACCACATCCACTGACACTGACGAGTCCAAAATAGGACGAAATGCGCGTTATCCTGGTGTATTCCACTGCTAGTCACCATCCACCACTACATGCCGAGACATCGTCGAAGCATCTGCACAAGAAGCCAACATATCAACCTGAAACTGAGCACTTCGGTCCAATCAATCGACGGGAAAATCTAAAATTGAATTAAATGGTATATGTCGAGTAATATACTGAAGTTAGACGTAGAGTCCTAATTGAGGAGGGTAAGTGAAGCATCGCATCATCGCATTCCTAACCACCACCTTCTGCATCCATCAATGTCGACTAACAACATAGGAATAGGTTGTAAAAACGTTAGGGATGGTAAAAGCAAGATATCTCATCAATCCATGAAGTTCTTGACATGTTGGGGAAGTGTAGACTATCTGGTTGGGGTATCGTGGGGGGTATGCTAGGAATCAATGTCTAGAGACTGCTGGTGATATAAGTAAAGGTCGTTCTCAATGGTATAGATACATTCACTTTTTTTTAATCTGTCAGATCCAGTAAACCATCATCCTACGTGTGTTACGTGATGTATGGCAACTCGAACTGTTGCAATTTTTGTGCAGAGTTCTATACTGAGATTTAGTTAACTACAACGGTTCAGTGTATGTTCAACTGGGCTGAGATCTGAACTTAATATGGGAGACAAAATAAAGTCCACCCAATAACAGGTTGATTATTTACGCAATACCTACCTAATTAACAGAGAGGTATATACAAAACTGATATGCATATATTAGGAGAATTGTTCAACGCTATAGTCCTATACTGCATCTGGACCAAACTGATGTATAATCATTATCATTTGAATTACTACTTTGAGTCTGCACCAAAGAAAGGACTACACACACCTCACACTAGTTACTAGTGTCCAATCAAAGTACCCACTATAGTCCTACAGGAGGTCAATCGCAAGCTCGAATAGCTAACTCAGTGGTAACGTCTCTGACTGCAGCACTCACTGAGTGACACGGGTTCGAACCTCACAAGGGACATCAGTTCCTTCAAAGTTTCAGATATGCCTTGGTGACTGACTAGTGAGTGCCAACTAGTACGAAACCTAGGTCGTGCAAGGCTTCCTGTGGCCGATTGCCTCCAACTATCTAATATCATCAAATACTATAATGTATTTTAGATGTTTTCAGGTAATCGGCAGGAAACATCCAAACCTAGACTGAATACTTCCTCCCCCTTTTTCTTCCTTGGCTGCAGTCGTCTAGCATCCGTTCAAAGTACACCAAGATAGTGTTTTTATCTAACTTGGTGATCATAATGTAACCATAAGAGACAGAATTCAATAAATACCGAGGACTAGGACATATGGATAATATCTAGTTCCTTCACCTTAGTGACTAATCATAAATGATGGTATAAATATAGAGGTGATGTACTTTTGCTAAGAAAAGAGTGACATTTCTTGAAGAACATTAAACAAACAAAACTCACTGTAACTTTGGGAAAAAATATATGCATACAAATAACCTCTACACACACTCACACACACATATCAGAAAACTGAAGGGGAAAAAAGTACTCGACACATTGAGACTAGAAATTTCGCTTGGAGACAAAAAACACAAAAATAAAACAGTGAAGCCAAAATACACAGACAGATACAAGAAAAATAGATAAATTAAACAGGCCAGTATTGAAGAATCTTTCACTACCATTTACCGGGTAATAAATAAATAGATTACCAAAACATCAGTCACTCTAGGTAGTGAATATACTTTAAACAGTAGAAGCCATTGCAATTCACTTAAAACAACATACCCAACCATTTTGGTGATTGTACTACGTCATACCTTTTAAGTATGATCTTTCATTCTGTAGGTATAAGTTACAAAACACCCCCCCCATTATTATTTTACTTGTATAAACAAACGTTTTGTTTACTTAATTTTAGCCTTAACAATTCACTAACATGTCAACAAACACACAAATGTGTGTTTGTTTTTATAACAACATTCATCCATATGTTAAGAAAATCATCCATATGAATTATTTTCCTTGTCGATTGAGTGGACCCAAGTGCTTGGTCTCAGGTTGACATGGCGGCTTCTTGTGCAGATGCTTCGACAATGTCTGGGCATGTAATTAGAATTTAATTGATGGATGGTGACTAGCAGTGGAATCCAGGATGCGCATTTCGTCCTATCTAGGACTCGTCAGTCAGTGGATGTGGTGCCTGCATTGCCCAGTGAATGATGGTGATCCCACCGAACCTCGGACCCCGGTGTCCGTAGTTTCAAATCAAATTTAATAATTAATATGACTCATTGCACAAGAGGTGGTTTTAGTGGCCAAAATGGTTTCGTGGATGACGCCTTGGTGTTCGAAACTACGGAGGAACTGGGTTCGAGCCTCGGTTGGGACCAACACCATCCACCACTCACTGGGGAATGCAGGCACATCCACTGGTTGACGAGTCCTAAATAGGACGACATGCGTATCCTGGATTCCACTGCTAGTCACCATCTACAAACTGAGTTGATTTATATGACGTTCATAATTAGTGAGAATAGAAACACTCAGTATGAATATTAATTATGAGCATCCACTACCATCATATATTTACTCGTTGTTATCCATGATATTTAATTTAGTACTACACATTTAAGCATATTATCAAATACACGTATGTTTTCAACTATAATTTCGAATCCGGAACCTTCCGGTTACAAAGTAAGCTCTTATACCAATCAGTCACTAGGACCCGACTCCTCAATGGCGATTCCATGAATTATAACTTCTACCAATCGGTGATATCTAGCGCGATTGGCACTAAACAATGTCATCAGCGGGAAATCCATCTTCACTCCCGACTGGATGAACCTCACTGGCCATAACCTTTCACTAGAACTTCAGTCAACTTTACCCTGTAGCAAGTCGCTAGCGAGTATCACATTAATTTTAATGAGTTGGTGGGTAAGGATTAAATTTGCTTTTTTTTGAGTTTGACCATGGATTGATATCAGCTAGAGAATCATTGAAAACCAGTGCTGAAGTAATGGACTACTGTTTCATCGTAGTTCACGGACTCTTCTACAGTGACTACAACAGAGGGATGAAACTCCGGACCTCTAGGTTACCACGTCAAACTTGCTAACCCATAAATTCGTGAAATAAAGCTACCCACAGTCCATAATTTCGATGAGATTTGATTTCATTCACCTGACAAGGTGGACCCCAAAGGCTTTACAACTTCAGGAAATTCATCCAGTAGCCATCAAAGAGGTGGAGATCGATATTTCGATTATGGGATTTTCATAAGGATATGAATTAATTCACTGGTCATGATTGAATTCCTGCTCAAGTGACTGAATGGCTAATAAGTTCGGTCTCACAACCTAACAATGCAGGGGTTTGATTCTTGGTGGGGTTGTTGGTGCATACTGCTGAAGAGTCGCCAAACAACTGTCCAGTGCTCCCTGGTTCTGAATAATCTCTAACTTATAGTGGCTCTTGATGAAATCTACATTGACATTAAAAATTTATCCTCGCATATACATACTTTTTTAAATTCAAGATATCTCAGTGATTTTATGTTATTAAAGGAAACAAAAACGTTCTTGTTGTCAATAACAACAATAATAATAATTCTTTGATTATTTTATGGAGGCATGTAGAACAAACATCTGATGAAGAAGCCGAAGAAGTGACGAAAATAAATTTATTCCTTATTCATTCACTAATCAGTCTTTTGGAACTCATTATAACTCATGAAAAGAAAAAAATATCCTCACAAATAACCTATACACACATACATAGACTAGCGAATAAATAAAAAACAATGCTTGGCAAATTAAAAACAAAACACATTAAAATGAAACAGCGAAACAAATATACACAGATACAAATAGAAAAAAATATAAACATAAAATGTACTTACTCAAGTGATGGTTGTCTGTTCACTCACTCACTCACTCACTCACTCACTCACTCACTCACTCACTCACTCACTCACTCACTCACTCACTCACTCACTCACTCACTCACTCACTCACTCACTCACTCACTCACTCACTCACTCACTCACTCACTCACTCACTCACTCACTCACTCACTCACTCACTCACTCACTCACTCACTCACTCACTCACTCACTCACTCACTCACTCACTCACTCACTCACTCACTCACTCACTCACTCACTCACTCACTCACTCACTCACTCACTCACTCACTCACTCACTCACT